ACGTTTACACAGGTAGCCCAATTCTGATCTTTTGCCCAATTATTGGTCTTTTGACCAATCAGATCAGGTCTTTTGCCAATAATTGAGCAAAAGAACAGAATTGGGCTGCCTGTGTAAACTCAGCCACAGTGTTACAGTTTGAAAGTAAGGAGATTGTGAGGAAACTGGACATACAGGACTGTTTGACAATGTGCCTCAACATGTCTCCTCACTCAGTCTCATTAAACAGCACTGATAAATGAAGATAGCAGATGACTTGGATTCAGAGGACAGTGTAACTTGGACTTGCAGGAGTGAGAGCTGAACCAATAAGACTGACATTGGGCACAGACTGCTGATCACCAAGGCTTTTTGTTCACTGTTCTGGAGTCAGCTCTAAGTGAAGGACACTCATACGCTTTAAGTATAGGACAGCTCTGGGATCAGTTTCATGTGAAGGACATAATACTGACATTACAGAGCTTCTTATCAATCGGCACATTCCACTACTCAGGGGGGTGAAAAGGGTTCAATCTAAAGGATTCTACAATCTAAATCCTTCCATTATGGGTTACACAAGCACATGCTGCCAAGCACTCGTCCACAAAAGCCAAGACTTTATTTCTGCTGACCACGTTTACCTGTATGAGAAGTGAGTACTGTAGACGTGTCTCCAAAACCCCTGTTGTACTACACTACTATACATTGAGGTACTTTTATACGTCAATTGTTTTCATTGCACTTCTGATGGAGGCAGTTGAAGGTACTGTATGTGATGATGAGTAGGGCCAGAAGTTTTTCCTGACTGTGACCTGTCCAGGGAAAACTCTGGGTCCTAGTGATAATGTGAAGGTGATAGGGACAGTGTCCTGTCCTGTTGTCAATCAATTGAAAACAATTGACAATGAATCAATTGTATTGATGAATCAGCCATTGTGAAGTGAAGGGCTGTATTGTATTACAGGATAAAAGCGGAATTCCAAACTCCAGCCTTATAGGTAGAATATGAGTGTTCTTTTTCCCTCCAGCTAGATTTAGAATCAGTAGTATTATTACGACGTGTATACTTACTTGTATAGATAATTGTTAGCCATAACTTCTTCTAGTAGTGGCATGTGCATAGATGTAAATTGATTTTTCTGGGGTGGGGTGGGGTGGGGGGTGACTGGGTCTTTCGTGAAATTTGTAATAAATCTTCTGAAAATACGTCTGGGAAATGTGTAAGTGGATCTGTGCCCTAGCCTGGAAAACAAACTGAATTGCTCCATTTTACAAGTGAAACAATAGTGAATCTGAGCGATTCAGTGTGGATCCAGGCTATTTTGTGTGCTACCAAGGAAATAAATTATATTCAGGACGCGAGACTCAGTGAAGCCGTATTTGTAACAGCCCTCCGCTTTATTGAAATACATTGGAGTCAGGTTAATATAATGAGTTCTGTGTGGTGGTCAGTTTCCATACATTATTTGTTTGACCTTACACCTTAAATATTTCTGTGCAAAAAGAATCTACATCACCTGTAGTGGGTTATCCTCAGTAAAACTCCCAAACCGTTCAAATAAAATGAGCAAGTCAAAATTAAAAACAAACAAAAAAATGATTACATCTATAACATGCAAAACTGTACAAATTATTACAAAGAATCCTAGAAAAACAAAGTGTATATGATATGAAAGAGCAAAATAATATAGAAGGAACTGAAGATAAGACCTCACTGAAATGCAAAGGCGTTTTTTTTTTTTTATGGTTATCATGGTGGCACCTCAGCCTCAATCTACTACCCTCCATCCGCTCTTTCACCCCTCACCCCTTTTCATCCTTAATTCAAAACACTTGTCTGATTTCTTCCTCCTTTTATCTGTTCTTGTCTTTTCTTCCACTTGACTCTTTCGACCCTTACGCCTAGTCACAGCTAGCTACACTATGGTTAGCTCTTCTTTCCCAAGTGTAGTCTGTTCTGTCACACTCACTTCCATTGTTAGGATGAAAATAATCATTGGTTCTGACATTCCTGAGTTTTTTTTAAAAGTGGGATTTCAGGGCTTTAACTTTACAGTATAAAGCCTGGTCTATCATACTCTTAGACTAAGATATTTCCTCTTCGTTCTCAGCTAATACATTCTACAGATAAGGCCCAGCAGATATGAATAGGGACTCTTGGTAGCTTAAAAGGAAATCTTTAGAGGTGGTTAAGTTGAGACGGTTGAGTAAAACCAGCTTAGCAAGACTGACTTCTCCAGAGAAATTCTTATTTTGCAAGCTCAATATAAAATGGAATTCTAAAAACATGTGGAATGAGTAGGCTAGAGATAGAGTACTGTATTTTACAAGGGAATATAACAGAATTGTGGTTTAGGGTTAAGGTTTAGGCCCCAAATGGCAGGAATGAAAGCAGAAATCTGTTCGGTTTTTGTATAATAAATTTTTTATACACTTCTGATTAGGATAGATAAACTGCCATGTTGACTACTTGGTACACTTCAACCCACCCAAACACTCCTAAACCTTAAGACAGAAGGTCCCTTTGAGCAGTAAGTAACAATGGTCATTCATTAAATGGTCTGTAACATAAAAAATAATTCCTCATTAGAAATGAAACCATTTCTTTCCAGAATAAGAGTACCCTTTCCTCCGCTTGAGAGAGAAGAGTCAGCTGATCTAGGCACTCGACCCAAAGCTCAGAAACAATATCAAGTAACTTGTTTCCTTTCCACACATAAATACACATCAACAACACCATGCTGTGGTTTGCATTAGGGTTGGGGTCCATTTCAATTGAGGCAATGCAGAAAGTAAACAGAAATTCTAATTCCAAATTTGTCTCAAAGAAGCATTGAGGAAAATTGGAATGCAACTTCAGTTTACTCCCTGAATTGACCAATTAAAAATGGAATGGATCCCAATCTAGGTTTGTATCAAGGTTATTGCATTAACAGACAGTAATACACAGCTTACCAGTTAATAGTAAGAACATAATGACAGCAGGGAGGTTTGTAACAGAAATTAAACATTGACCTTGTCATCCTAGCATTTCTTTTACATTATTTCACTATTTTTTTTAACCTCCATTTCAGCCTAGTGCCGTCTGTGTAGTCAAACCAACGTCTCTTTACAATTGTAGTTTATCTTTTTCCCCCTAACCATTCAAAACATTCTTCAAAATAAGCAAGGCTGTCTGAAAAATTATGAAGACTCAAGATTCCAAGTCATTCTTTTTTGGTTATAACAAGCTTTCCAAAATCTCTCTCAGAAGTCAAAGGAAGGATATATTTGAGGTTCACATGTTGGTACCACAGAGAATAGTATGGAAATACACACTTTGTGTTTCAGAATCACTGTCATTTAGGAAAGACGCAATCCCACCTCAACTAATCTAACTGTGGACCATAGAGGAAAGAGTGGAGGGGGAAACGCCTGTGTGTGAGTGTGTGCACATAAGTATGAATGCATGCATCTGTGATAGGACTATCGCTTCAAATAAATGCACATATTCACTTAACAGCACGAGTTCATGTGACCCATAATATTAGTTTCCTCAAACGCAAATCAAATTGACACTCGACAGTTTGTGTCTCATACATGAAATAGAACAAAAACTAAACCAAATCTAAAAGCAATCATTAGAAGAACTTGAAGTGGTTTAAAATGGCTTTCGTGTGAATATAACCCCAAATCATACTCAAAAAATAAAAAGGAATCGAGGATCTTCTCCCATCATCTATTTCTCTATAGTATTTTCCTTATCATATATTATTCTCTACTTTTAACCTATGTACATTGTTGTGATAGGAATCGGCTTTTTGTAATTGATCAGTGGTTGGTCTATTACTGTACTTACGGTAGTAGGTCTACACTACATTGAGAATGCTCCAATGTTCCCAGATCAGTGGATGAGGTCACTGGCCCATGTCATGAGGAAGTCGCATAAGGAGCCGTGATGTCATCATAGAATGTTCAGTCTGCTTCTAAACACTGCTGTCCCTAAGAATTCTAAAATATGAAGCCAGCGAGGTGTCACCTAGAGTTAAAATACCCCTAACCATACTTGTATTTTTGTACTGCTTTACTGTAGCTTTTCGCTGATGGTACGAAGAAATTAAGTCACTGCACATATTTCACTTCATGAGCAATAAAAAATAAAAAATACATCACTGCTTTCTTTTTTTCTTCGTTTTCTTTTTTTTAATGTTATTTTGTGAGCCTTGTATTGTAAATGGATTCCCCCTCTTCTTCTGCTGCCAACTACCGTTTCGGAAGAAAGCAACAGAAGGAAAAAGAGAGGGAGAGAGAGAAAATATCCTCTCTTTCTCCTCTAGCTGCGAATCACCCTGCTCTCCATGTCTTAGATAGATAGATAGATTAATAAATAAAAGGTGGTCCCCCAAGCCCAAAGGGTGCTATATACACGTATCAAATGATCTGTTGTTGTTTCATATTGATCCTCTCTTTACAGGAGTTGCCAATTACATAATAATCTACATGGGGCTAGTAGTGCTGCAATCAAAAGTACTCTCAATAAAACTCAGCGCTTCGCTTATTCTGGTTATCAGCTACAAAGGGGTTATACATTTTAATCCTATATTGTATGCCCTCCCTCAAAAACACACACACAAACATTCACGCGCACACACACACACACACACACACACACACACACACACACACACACACACACACACACACACACACACACACACACACACACACACACACACACACACACACACACACACACACACACACACACACACACACACACACACACACACACACACACACACACACACACACTCCTAGTATTTCCTTCTTGGTCAAACACTTCCTTTCCCTGTGTTTGTTTGTAGATTTCAGTTCCATCTTGGGAACTTTGTGGGAGGTCAAAGGTGAAGTAAGTAAGTGGGAGGGGCCTGTGGCAGCGGGTGCAGTTCCATGGGCAGGGGATAGGCTGAGCCTGGGAAGGGGTGTGGGCCCGGGGGCTTGGTGAGGGTCAGGGATTGGAGCGGTGTGCTGTCTGTCACTCATGTGTCCCAGCCAGTCATGCGGTCTGTGCTCTCCAGTGAGAGGGACTTGGTCTTGTGGGGTGAGGCCGGGCTGGGGGGACTGCTGAACGTAGAACTGTTTGACGCCGTCGAGTGACGGGGCGAGTCAGAGTCCTGGAGAGAGAGAAGGGGGGGAGAAAGAGAGAGAGAGAGGGAGAGAGGGGGAGAATGAAAGGGGAGGAACAGGGAGAAAGAGAGAGAGAAAGAGAGGCACTTAAATGTCATACTTTTCTCACAGCTAAACACAGAACAGGCAAGGGTCACGGGCTCAGTAGGCATGCAACGCAAGAAAACACTGAAACACAGGAGGCGATACTACCTTAACTTGTCTTAGAAAAAAACACTTTCTCCTATTTGTGCCTACTGAACACAACCCATCTCTCCAATGGGCTCCAGTAGATCAGGCCTGGTCAACACTAGTCCTCAGGGACCTCTGTTTGTGTGTGTGTTTGTGTGTGTCACCGTGTGTTTGTCCTTTCAAACAACCACTGTCGTCATCATCAAAGCTGATCTGCTGTTTGACTGCCGATGTGGACATGGTGATATCACTTCACATCACTACACAGAGCGCTAGGTAACAAGGAGTTAATGCCCCGGAACATTCCACATCATCAGACAATGAGCAACTCGATTGACCGGAAATGATTGGTTACAGCAAAACACATACACAAAACACACAAGGCCCCGTCTACTGTCTACTACTACAGTACTTAGCAGTCAGTGGAGGTTGACCAACTTTTGTTCCAGCCTAGTTCAAAACGCACTTTGTTAAATCAGGGGTGTCAGAGTGTGTGTGTGTGTGTGTGTGTGTGTGTGTGTGTGTGTGTTAGTGCTGTGTTGGAACAAAAGCCTGCATACACTGCTGGTCCTCCAAAACTATGAAATGCCACCCCTGCTATAGTATACCATTGTGTACAAGATATCCCTGAGGACAGCATTGAGAGTTACTAGTTAAGAAAAGCAGGTTTGACAGCATCTCCCTCCTTCACTGAAGGGAGGTAGTAGGGTTGCAAAATTCAGGTAATTATCCCACAATTCCCAGGTTTTCCAGAAATGTCCTGATTATTCCCTCCTGAAAACCTGGGAATTTTAGGAAAGTTATCAGAATTTTGCAACTCTAGATGGGAGGTGGTGAGGGTGAATTTGTCCTTTGCGCGCATGTTTCTCACAGACAAAACAGAGTCATTTTTCATTTCTATGGCTATTTATACATTAGGCTACGGCTGTGGGAGCTTCAACTTTCCACCACAGCACTACAGTAGCTGGCACAAAGGTACAGGTATATAATGGCCTATAGGAGAGGAGCGCCACATTATCCATAGTATTACATTTACATTTACATTTGAGTCATTTAGCAGACGCTCTTATCCAGAGCGACTTACAGTTAGTGAATACATTTTTTTTTTATACTGGCCCCCCGTGGGAATCGAACCCACAACCCTGGCGTTGCAAACGCCATGCTCTATCAACTGAGCTACATCCCTGCCGGCCATTCCCTCCCCTACCCTGGACGACGCTGGGCCAATTGTGCGCCGCCCATGAGTCTCCCGGTCGCGGCCGGCTGCGACAGAGCCTGGATTCGAACCAGGATCTCTAGTGGCACAGTTAGCACTGCGCAGCAGTGCCTTAGACCACTGCGCCACTCAGGAGACGTATCTCCTCAACTCAAGTAGTATCTTCCTGATGATGTATCAATCAAATCAGATCAGATACTGTCATGGTCATTATTAGAAACATGAGTTGGGCTGGCCACAGGGGGACAGTATGGAAGCAGACAGACGCATGCGGGGTAGAGGATGTTGGTGACACACCATTCCAAAAACCAAACCAGGAAATGAAGTAGAAACACCAGGGCAGGTCAGGGGAGTGGGGAATGAGTAACCACCCTCTAGCCATAGCCAGAGGCAGAGGGGGCGATCAGATGCTGGTGCTGCTGGGGCTGAAATGGTGCAGTGGTGGGCAGGAGGGGGGAGTGACAGAGGCTTTGGGGCAAAGCTTCACGACTGTGTGCACGCGCACACGTGTGTGTTGGTGTGTGTGTGTGGTTGAGGGGGTTGGGTACAGTGTGGGTTGGTTGAGTGTTTGTGTGTGCTGACATTACCTTCATTTTACTAAGCAGGGTCCTTAAAGCCCTTTTCAGATCGGGGGTCTTCTCCGATGGCGAGACCGCCTGCCACTGGAGAGGAACAGTTACAGACTCAGCGACCCCGCCCGGCCCAGAGTACAACATGCTAGGGCTGGGGGGGACCGAAGCGGGTGGAGGGGGCGAGATGGGGCAGGCACGAATCACGATGGAGCTAGCCAGGTATGAGGGACGGTGGGGTGGTAGACAGTCAGCCAGGCCAGAAGAGGGAGCCAAAGGCAGGATGGATAGCTAGAGCAAGAATCCCTGCTTTGAGGATGGCTGGATGCTTGAGGTAAAAGTTGCTCTTAACCACAGATCTAGGATCAGATTATTAGACCCCCAAATCTAACCTTAAACATTAGGTGGATTTAAAAAACTATCCGACCCTGAATCAGTGGTTAGGGGTGACTTGTAGCTATCTACTCCTGGCTGGGTGGTTGAGGCTGAGGGTGGGAGAGAAGAGGCCAGATGCAGAGAACCAGAGAGGGGAATGGCTGGGACTGAGGTTTGGGTCAGGGTTGCGTAGGGGGGGGGCCCGATTGATTTCCCTATGAGGGGCTGTGGTGGGTCTAGGAACCAATCGGACCGAGGGATAGGATGAGGCGAAGGGCGATATGGGAGGGCACGAGAAGACGGAGGCTGGGTGGTGGATGTTGTGGGTGAAGGGGGGGGCAGAGTTATGGGGCACACTTTCATATGTCTAGTTACATACAGAGAGGGAAAAAAGTATTTGATCCCCTGCTGATTTTGTACGTTTGCCCACTGACAAAGAAATGATCAGTCTATAATTTTAATGGTAGGTTTATTTGAACAGTGAGAGACAGAATAACAACAAAACAATCCTAAAAAACACGTCAAAAATGTTATAAATTGATTTGCATTTTAATGAGGGAAATAAGTATTTGACCCTTCTGCAAAACATGACTTAGTACTTGGTGGCAAAACCCTTGTTGGCAATCACAGAGGTCAGACGTTTCTTGTAGTTGGCCACCAGGTTTGCACACATCTCAGGAGGGATTTTGTTCCACTCCTCTTTGCAGATCTTCTCCAAGTCATTTGAAACCCCACCTCTTTAAGGAATACCTGGGATAGGATAAAGTAATCCTTCTACCCCTCCCTTACCTGAATCCACCCCCCCCCCCCCAAAAAAAAAGAAATAAAAAAAAGAAAAACACATTGTAAAGTGGTTATCCCACTGGCTATAAGGTGAATGCACCAATTTGTAAGTCACTCTGGATAAGAGCGTCTGCTAAATGACGTAAATGTAAATGTAATTAAGGTTTTGAGGAGACTGGCTAGGCCACTCCAGGACCTTAATGTGCTTCTTCTTGAGCCACTCCTTTGTTTTGGGTCATTGTCATGCTGGAATACCCATCCACAACCCATTTTCAATGCCCTGGCTGAGGGAAGGTGAACGTAGAATTTGACGGTACATGGCCCTGTCCATCGTCCCTTTGATGCAGTGAAGTTGTCCTGTCCCCTTGGCAGAAAAACACCCCCAAAGCATAATGTTTTCACCTCCATGTTTGACGGTGGGGATGGTGTTCTTGGGGTCATAGGCAGTATTCCTCCTCCTCCAAACACGGCGAGTTGAGTTGATGCCAAAGAGCTCGATTTTGGTCTCATCTGACCACAACACTTTCACCCAGTTCTCCTCTGAATCATTCAGATGTTCATTGGCAAACTTCAGACGGCCCTGTATATGTGCTTTCTTGAGCAGGGGGACCTTGTGGGCGCTGCAGGATTTCAGTCCTTCACGGCGTAGTGTGTTACCAATTGTTTTATTGGTGACTATGGTCCCAGCTGCCTTGAGATCATTGACAAGATCCTCCCGTGTAGTTCTGGGCTGATTCCTCACCGTTTATCATGATCATTGCAACTCCACAAGGTGAGATCTTGCATGGAGCCCCAGGCCGAGGGAGAATGACAGTTATTTTGTGTTTCTTCCATTTGCGAATAATCGCACTGTTGTCACCTTCTCACCAAGCTGCTTGGCGATGGTCTTGTAGCCCATTCCAGCCTTGTGTAGGTCTACAATCTTCTCCCTGACATTCTTGGAGAGCTCTTTGGTCTTGGTCATGGTGTAGAGTTTGGAATCTGATTGATTGATTGATTGCTTCTGTGGACTTTAAGAGTGTGCTCCTAATCTCAGCTTGTTACCTGTATAAAAGACACCTTGGAGCCAGAAATCTTTCTGATTGACAGGGGGTCAAATACTAATTTCCCTCATTAAAATGCAAATCAATTTATAACATTTTTGACATGCGTTTTCCTGGATTTTGTTGTTGTTATTCTTTCTCTCACTGTTCAAATAAACCTACCATTAAAATTATAGACTGATAATTTATTTGTCAGTGGGCAAACGTACAAAATCAGCAGGGGATCAAATACTTTTTTCCCCTCACTGTAGATGTTTGATATGTCTTCCACGTCATTGGTCACCAGCCAGAGTATTTTCAGTTTCTGTGTAGTGTTATGGTGAACCTAGTCATATTTAGAGCAATTGTGCTCAAACGATTAGTGAAACGTGGTTTCAGATCCATCCACTTGACTCTCACAACCAAAATACAACCAAGATACAACTATCTGAACATTAGTATCAGAGATGCGACTTATCAGAACAATTTATGGTATATCATCTAAGCTGAGACACCGATTCAGCACAATTCTACCCAATTGTTAGTAGTTGAGTTTTAGTAGCCTTAATCAAGTGCACTTTACCCAGGCGCCCTAGGGAGGAAGCAAGCTAGGCTGGTCACGTACCTCTCTGTCGAACTGGGAGAGGGGTGCGTCGCTGCAGCCGTCCATACCCCCTCCGGAGGACAAGGAGCTCTCGGAGGGAGAGGTCATGGTCTGGCGCTTAGAGCTGTAGCTACCCCCGGACAGCTCTCTTCTCAACGCACTGCCGTTCTGAGATGACGAACCTGGAAAAAGAGGTTGAGAGCCAAAAATAGAGGGATAGGGGAAGATAGAGAGGAACGGGGAGAGAGTGGGACAGAGAAGGGGAGGGGGAGTTAGGAAGGGAACAGAGAAAGCTAGACAGATGAGTGTCAGGCAATGCATTTAAATCTACAAGAATATACTTTCCATTGTTCACTAGTAACAAGCGCCTCCATTTTCTCTACCCAGGCCTTTATTTTATGATGCTTCTTTAATCCCCATTCTATTGATACATTATTTTATACAATATTTATTTACTATTAAGCCTACTAGCCTAGTGTGATTGGTAGTGTGGTACTTACGGATGCCCAGTCCACTGCTGGCGCTCATGGACCGTCCCGGCTCGGCTCTGTTCTTGGTGATGGAGGGGATGGACACGGAGCCACTGAAGCCTGCAGCACGACTCTCCTGAACACGCACGTTCTGCGTTAGAAAGGTCAGTGGACAGGGGAGGACAGAATAGACCGGGGCGGATGAGGACAGAGAGGCACAGATATGTGGATTACGGAGATGGTATAAGAACGCATAGATATACAGACACACACAAACATTTGTGAATATACATTCACAGAATGACACAAATATGGATATGAACACATATCGGAGACCCATGGGGCGGCGCACAATTGGCCCAGCGTCGTCCAGGGTAGGGGAGGGAATGGCCGGCAGGGATGGCGTTTGCAATGCCAGGGTTGTGGGTTCGATTCCCATGGGGGGCCAGTATGAAAAAAATATAAATAATGTATGCACTCACTAACTGTAAGTCGCTCTGGATAAGAGCGTCTGCTAAATGACTAAAATGTAAATGTAATATGCACACATACAACATGTAATATGGCCATGATGACCACACATATGCACATACGTAAATACAGACATTAAATCACACAAACGAGAACACCAACGCACAGACATTCACATGTACAAACACATGATGCTCAGCTGGACAAGAGAAGGAGGTACAACTACTGAGCTTGTTACAACTGAGCAGAACATCCATGGACACTCTCCTTAGTGCCCTGTCTTACCATGGGCAGGTCTTTGAGGATCTGGATACCGTCCCCAGGTCCCATGTGGGCCACGTGGTTGAAGTTGGTGGGGTTGGAAATCAGCTTGTTCCTCATCTCTGGGTCTCTCAGCATCTCTCTGTATAGGACACACACCAAACACACGAATGAGGTCACTGTGTCCAGAACACGGTGAATGCACCATTGGAGAGTGATATTGCGTGAACAGGATGAGCTTTATGCCTATGGAGGGGACGTATATGGATGAATGGTATGGAGTCTGTACTAAATCTGTAGTGTGTAATGTACCATTAGCTGTATACTTCCTCTGTGAAGTAGCTTGGTGTAGTTTATTGTGTAGTGTGCACTACGTAGTGTGTAGTGTAGTGTGCACTACATAGTGTGTAGTGTATTGTGTAGTGTGCACTACGTAGCGTTTAGTTTACCTCCTCTGCTGTAGCCGCTCCTCTTCAGGGACTCTGAAGGAGAAGCGTCTCTTGTTGTTCAAGCTGCGAACCATCTGCTTCCTGCTGTTGTCAGACGTCTCGGGGACCACCAGCTCATCACCCTCTGGAATATTAACAACATGGCCGCCGTCGTCAACAACAATAACAACATCAGTAACATGACCATCATCATCATAAATATTTCTAATCCTGTTTTTTTATTTATTGCAAAAATCTCTTAAAGAACGACACGATAATACTACTGTGGAATATATGACCATTAGAATGAGTATTACACTCAGTCAGCGGTAATAATCATATTATTGAGATATGGATCTCTCCTATGCATCTAGCAGTCCAGAGGCCTATCCTGTGTGTAACTGACCTGCCGTCTTGTTTCGGAAGTAGATGAGCCTCACTGTCTCCAGACCCAGGAGGTTCAGGGATCCGTCAGGGTTCAGAGGTCGCACCTTCAGGGGAGATACAAAGGGGTCAAAGGTTACACCTACAGTGCCTTGCAAAAGTATTTATCCCCCTTGGCGTTTTTCCTATTTTGTTGCATTACAACCTGTAATTTAAATTGATTTTTATTTGGATTTCATGTAATGGACATACACAAAATAGTCAAAATTGGTGAAGTGAAATTCAAAAAATTCTAAAAAATAAATAACGGAAAAGTGGTGCGTGCATTTGTATTCACTCCCTTTGCTATGAAGCCCCTAAATAAGATCTGGTGCAACCAATTACCTTCAGAAGTCCACCTGTGTGCAATCTAAGTGTCACATGATCTGTCACATGATCTCAGTATATATACAGTGGGGAAAAAAAGTATTTAGTCAGCCACCAATTGTGCAAGTTCTCCCACTTAAAAAGATGAGAGAGGCCTGTAATTTTCATCATAGGTACACGCCAACTATGACAGACAAAATGAGAATTTCTTTTCCAGAAAATCACATTGTAGGATTTTTTATGAATTTATTTGCAAATTATGGTGGAAAATAAGTATTTGGTCAATAACAAAAGTTTCTCAATACTTTGTTATATACCCTTTGTTGGCAATGACACAGGTCAAACGTTTTCTGTAAGTCTTCACAAGGTTTTCACACACTGTTGCTGGTATTTTGGCCCATTCCTCCATGCAGATCTCCTCTAGAGCAGTGATGTTTTGGGGCTGTCGCTGGGCAACACGGACCTTCAACTCCCTCCAAAGATTTTCTATGGGGTTGAGATCTGGAGACTGGCTAGGCCACTCCAGGACCTTGAAATGCTTCTTACGAAGCCACTCCTTCGTTGCCCGGGCGGTGTGTTTGGGATCATTGTCATGCTGAAAGACCCAGCCACGTTTCATCTTTAATGCCCTTGCTGATGGAAGGAGGTTTTCACTCAAAATCTCACAATACATGGCCCCATTCATTCTTTCCTTTACACGGATCAGTCGTCCTGGTCCCTTTGCAGAAAAACAGCCCCAAAGCATGATGTTTCCACCCCCATGCTTCACAGTAGGTATGGTGTTCTTTGGATGCAACTCAGCATTCTTTGTCCTCCAAACACGACGAGTTGAGTTTTTACCAAAAAGTTATATTTTGGTTTCATCTGACCATATGACATTCTCCCAATCCTCTTCTGGATCATCCAAATGCACTCTAGCAAACTTCAGACGGGCCTGGACATGTACTGGCTTAAGCAGGGGGACACGTCTTGCACTGCAGGATTTGAGTCCCTGGCGGCGTAGTGTGTTACTGATGGTAGGCTTTGTTACTTTGGTCCCAGCTCTCTGCAGTTCATTCACTAGTTCCCCCCGTGTGGTTCTGGGATTTTTGCTCACCGTTCTTGTGATAATTTTGACCCCACGGGGTGAGATCTTGCGTGGAGCCCCAGATCGAGGGAGATTATCGGTGGTCTTGTATGTCTTCCATTTCCTAATAATTGCTCCCACAGTTGATTTCTTCAAACCAAGCTGGTTACCTATTGCAGATTCAGTCTTCCCAGCCTGGTGCAGGTCTACAATTTTGTTTCTGGTGTCCTTTGACAGCTCTTTGGTCTTGGCCATAGTGGAGTTTGGAGTGTGACTGTTTGAGGTTGTGGACAGGTGTCTTTTATACTGATAACAAGTTCAAACAGGTGCCATTAATACAGGTAACGAGTGGAGGACAGAGGAGCCTCTTAAAGAAGAAGTTACAGGTCTGTGAGAGCCAGAAATCTTGCTTGTTTGTAGGTGACCAAATACTTATTTTCCACCATAATTTGCAAATAAATTCATTAAAAATCCTACAATGTGATTTTCTGGATTTTTTTTTCTCAATTTGTCTGTCATAGTTGACGTGTACCTATGATGAAAATTACAGGCCTCTCTCATCTTTTTAAGTGGGAGAATTTGCACAATTGGTGGCTGACTAAATACTTTTTTCCCCCACTGTACACCTGTTCTGAAAGGCCCCAGAGTCTGCAACACCACCAAGCAAGCGGCACCATGAAGACCAAGGAGCTCTCCAAACAGGTCAGGGTCAAAGTTGTGGAGAAGTACAGATCAGGGTTGGGTTATAAAAAAATATCTTTGAACATCCCATTAAATCCATTATTAAAAAATGGAAAGAATATGGCACCACAACAAACCTGCCAAGAGAGGGCCGCCCACCAAAACTCACAGACCAGGCATGGAGGGAATTAATCAGAGAGGCAACAAAGAGACCAAAGATAACCCTGAAGGAGCTGCAAAGCTCCACAGCAGAGATTGGAATATCTGTCCATAGGACCACTTTAAGCCGTACACTCCACAGAGCTGTGCTTTACGGAAGAGTGGCCGAAAAAAGCCATTGCTTAAACAAAAAAATAAGCAAACGCGTTTGGTGTTCGCCAAAAGGCATGTGGGAGACTCCCCAAACATTTGGAAGAAGGTACTCTGGTCAGATGAGACTAAAATTGAGCTTTTTGCCATCAAGGAAAACACCATGTCTGGTGCAAACCCAACACCTCTCATCGCCCCGTGAACACCATCCCCACAGTGAAGCATGGTGGTGGCAGCATCATGCTGTGGGGATGTTTTTAATCGGCAGGGACTGGGAAACTAGTCAGAATTGAAGGAATTATGGATGGCGCTAAATACAGGGAAATTCTTGAGGGAAACCTGTTTCAGTCTTCCATAGATTTGAGACAGGGACAGAGGTTCACCTTCCAGCAGGACAATGACCCTAAGCATACTGCTAAAGCAACACTTGAGTGGTTTAAGGGGAAACATTTAAATGTATTGGAATGGCCTAGTCAAAGCCCAGACCTCAATCCAATTGAGAATCTGTGGTATGACTTAAAGATTGCTGTACACCAGCGGAACCCATCCAACTTGAAGGAGCTGGAGCAGTTTTGCCTTGAGGAATGGGCAAAAATTCCAATGGCTAGATGTGCCATGCTTATAGAGACATACCCCAAGAGACTTGCAGCTGTAATTGCTGCAAAAGTATTGACTTTGGGGGGGTGAATAGTTATGCATGCTCAAGTTCTGTTTTTTTGGTCTTATTTCTTGTTTGTTTCACAATAAAAAATATTTTGCATCTTCAAAGTGGTAGGCATGTTGTGAAAATCAAATGATACAAACCCCCCAAAAAATCCATTTTAATTCCAGGTTGGAAGGCAACAAAATAGGAAAAATGCCAAGGGGGGTGAATACTTTTGCAAGCCACTGTACCATGCACACACACCAATCCGACTACCGGCCCTCTGCTACATGTGCAGTCCTATACTCTCACCTTCTTTAGTGGGATTGTCTGAATCCACTCCATTGTGTTGACATCAAACACATCCACAGCGTTCTCACTGTACACTGACAGGTAGGGGGCGTTGTAACCTGGAGAGAAGGAAGGAGGAAAACATCAGCTTCAGGCTTAAAGCTACATTCGAAACGACAGCCCTGCCACTTGTTTTGGTAAACAGCTTTGGGATGGGGCAGGGGAAATGTAACCCCTCACAAATTTGTAGACAGCCGCTCTAGAAGCAAGGACTGTTTCCACATGACAGTTTTAAACCTATTCGGAAGCTATATACTTTTTAATTTTCTTATAGTTTGTAAACAGTTGAGAAATAAAATCTGATTTTTTGGTTTATGATAATTTTAAGACAGTTGTGCTGGTTCAGAACTCACAGGCGGAGTTAGGCACGGCCGGCCACATCAGCTCCTGCTGGCGCGAGCGGCGGCCCTGCGAGTCCACATAGACCCCTATGGCTGAGAAGCATAGCAGCAGCTCCTTGGAGGAGATCTCCACGGCACACAACGCGTCCAGGGCCTGCTGGGAGATGAAGGCCAGGGTGTGGTCCTCGGGGTGCAGCAGGCTGACCGGGGCACAGTCCCCGTGGACGCTGTAGCGCGTGAAGCCAGCCTGGTAGCCCACACACAGCCGCTCGCTCAGGAGACCCATCCACTGGACAGGACCTGGGGTTTGGAGCTCCTGCAGCCGGCGGTGGCGCACCTTGCTCTTGTTCACCTGGGAGATATAGAACCATAATGTTGTCATTTAGTGAGTAAATTCCTTTCTATTTCATAATCCCATAAAAATAGCCTATATAGTTGCTGTATTTTCTATATCAAAGTTATACTACATAATTTGTAAAACACGACAACGTGCTTAACAAATGAAGTCCCATCAACCCCATCCCTTCTGTCCCCGCCACCCACCTCGTAACAAATGACCTGTCTCTTCATGGCCACACACAGACAGATGAGGGAGTTGTTTCGGACAGGGCCGGACACCAGCGCTGTGCAGCCCTTGGTCTCGGCCAGCTTGTAGGAGTCCATCTCCCGTCCGTCCAGCGCAGCCATGGGGAAGAGGCGGACGTGGCGGTTACGACCGGAGATGACCGCTAGGAGCTGCTCCTGGGGGACCAGGTCGATGTGGTAGACCTTCTTATTGTCTCCCACACGGGTGATCTCTGTTAGGTCAGGAGGGGGGAGAGAGAGTGAGTTGTCAAAAATACCTTTCCACTGTGATAGCCAATATGTGGTGAGCATTCTACTGCAAAATGGGTGAAGTGCATCAGGCGGGTGGGTGCAAAAGTCTTACCATCTTTGGTGACATGGATAACATAAAGGCCTTCCTCGTTGCCCAGGGCAACACGCTCGTGATCTGAAGAGAAAACATCAAGAGGACGTTTGATTCAGAGTATACTGCAGAGTTAGGTAACAAGGTGCATAAAGTATGTCCTGATCTGTTCTGCAGTAGAACATGCAATGGCTGTATACTACAAACTCTTAATGAGACGGATACAGAAAGGAGTTTTTTCCTACAATTACTTGATTACTACATGGCCAAAATAAAGAGGCAGCCTGTGTGTGAGTCTCCCCTTCACCTACCTATAATAGCAGCGGACTGTGTGGTCTTGATGAGCGGTAGCGTGCTGTCGTAAGCCTCTTTGGGCACATAGACAAAGCGCTCCTTCAGCTTGTTCTTCTTGAGGATGCGGTGCAGCTCACTGAGAAGCCCCACCCACTTGTTCCTCTCGTGGTCGGTGTCCGCCAGGATCAGGATGGACGGCTTGTGACTGGAGGAGGCGGACAGCTGGGAAGCAGTCACCTGGAGGGGTCAGAGGTTAGGGGTAGTGCGTGGTGAGGGCTTTCGGAATGGCCTCCCACAGCAATTTTGAAGCATTGTTAAACCCTGAGAAATCTGAAAACTGGAATAGGCTGGGGAGTAAATGTATGAATGCATAAATGCATGTATTCAAAAATCATGAAAGGCTAACCCTGAATATACATGGGATGTCCTTGCGGCTGGCGTGAATGACATCAGATGCCATAACAGAGCTGACTGAAAACTCCTCATCCCTGGAAAACAAAGGAGGGAGAAAGTGTGAGAGAGAGAGGGGAGAGGCAAAGAGATAGGGGAGTGATTGACTCAATCAAATAAAGGACTAAACCCAGAAGTAATTCTAATAAGTAGCTATTTCTCTCTGAGACTATGGGAGTTGTAGTTCAGACAGAGCTCAGGTCGTAGTCCTTGTCAGTCTCACCTCATGTCTATTGCCACGTTCAAAACAACTGGGAACTGAAAAAAAACTAGCTCCGACTGGGAAAAATCGATTTGAACGGTCATCCAACTCGGGAACTCTGGCCTCTTTCTAGAGCTCCGACTTTCCGACCTGAAGATCACTGATGACCTCGTATTTTTCAGAGTTCCCAGTTGTTTTGAACGCGGCATATGACCTGACTGACCACCACACTGGGCTTTGTGGCCCTGCCCTTGCCCAGCTATGAGAGTTGTAGTTCAGACAGAGCTCAGGTTGTAGTCCTTACCTCATGTCTATGACCTGACTGACCACCACACTGGGCGTTGTGGTCTTGCCCTCTCCCAACTCGTACAGGAAGAGCTTGAAGTCACACACTACGGCCACCGCCCGCTGCCAACCCTTCTTCACCCCTGTTGGCTTGGGCACCTGGGAACACACACAGGGACACACACACACACACTTTAGTCTCACGATAGACCCAACCTAGTATTGACAGTGGTAAACAACCACTGTATTTGGAAGCTACTGGTTGTGCAGGCTTTTGTTCCAGCCCAGCACTACATATTTTATTATACACACACCATTAACAGGCAAACCTCACAAACACACACAGGTCAGACTCTTATGATATAGACGTCAAACGTACAAGGTAAGATTTCATTTTAAATGTGCACTTTAATTCACTTATTCTACCAGGAAATGTCAACCAAATGTTGTTAAAAGAGTGCATAAACAAACACAATCTTCTGTGTCATACGTACTCTGACGTGTCCCTCATAGGCTGTGCCGATGCCCCTCTGAGGGTCAATGCCCAGCGGCCCCTTGGTCTGGTCATGTGGCACGGGGCACACTGCTGGAGCCTTGTCAGCACACGTCACGTGGCATGAGAAGTTACACACTAAAGGACCAGACAGGAGAGAATAAGGAGTTTATATCCATTTTATATCTAGCACCAAAAGAGACAGTGTACTCCCACCTCAGTCTAGTCCTACCCCACTCCTCCTGCTCTCATTCTAGTCTCCTGCCTTCCATCTCAGTTTCCCTCCCTCCCTTTCCGCAAATCCCAGTCTTCCTTCCTTTATCCCTCTCTCCTCATTCTCCCATCTTTGTCTTCCTCCCGCTCTCCTCCTCCCTTTCTATCGCTCTCTCTCCTCTCATTGTACCTTCGCAGGTGCAGCCCTGGCGGATGAGTCCCACCATGAGAGAGGTGCACTGGTTACACTTGGTTGGAGCACTGAAGGACTTCACCACAAACTGGTGGGCTTTGGGCTGCAGGGGACAAACAAAGGAGAACAGAGGGCCGGTCAAAACACATAGGACTAATACGGACGTTTTATTGAAATACAGCAACAGTTTGTTTATTTAAATACAGCAACTGGTCTTCGTCGGGTCCATGGGATTGACATTAAGTATTGACCGAGATTTAAACAGCAGATCAGTATTTGGGAAGCCAAAAAGGATGTCAGGTCTTACCTTGGGTGATGAGCGGCCGATACTACCATACCCTCCTGATCGCATGGTGGGGGTCTGGACTGGTCGTGGGGGGTGGTCTATCAACTGGAGGGTGGGAGAAGACAGAGAAAGATTTGAGTACAGCACAATATATACCTCGTATTTATTTTATGTCCGGAAAACCATCCCTTAGCGATTAAGAACAGTCTAAGATGAGGCATAATATAAGTTGAGGGTCAAAGTTCAGAAGTTAGAGTTCACCTCTATAGGCTCCACGTCGCTGGCCATGGAGGGCGACCGTGAGCGAGACTTGAGCTGGGACTTGGAGTCCTCGCCTCTGGATGGAGTGTTGGAGGGAGTGAAGTTATCCACCGAGTCCAACTGGAGAAAGGGATGAGAGAGAGAGAGACAAATAAAGAAAGGTGGGTTACAGGACATAGAAACAGGTTGTGAGGGAGTTGGTAGAAAGTAAGGAAGCCAAGAGGGACCCAAAAAGCACCATCCATGCTTAGAGTAAAAAGCAAGAAATCGATTCAACCAGGTAGATGTAAAGTATTATAGAGGTAAATGGAGATTATAGTCGTAGTAGAGCTAGGACTGACCAATCCATTGGTAAACGGTCATTAGGAAGCCTACAGGTTGGACCACAAACCCATGAACCATGCACATGACACGAGCGCTACACATACAGTGCATTCGGAAAGTATTCAGACCCCTTGACCTTTTCCACATTTTGTTACGTTACAGCCTTATTCTAAAATGGATTCAATAAAAATAAATCCTCATCAATCTACACACAATACCCCATAATGACAAAGCGAAAACAGGTTTTTAGACATTTTTGCAAATGTATTAAAAATAAAAAACAGAAATACCTTATTTACATAAGTATTCAGACCCTTCACTATGAGACTCGAAATTGAGCTCAGGTGCATACTGTTTCCATTGATCATCCTTGAGATGTTTCTACAACTTGATTGGAGTCCACCTTTGGTAAATGAAATTGATTGGACATGATTTGGAAAGGCACACACCTGTCTATATAAAGTCCCACAGTTGACAGTGCATGTCAGAGCAAAAACCAAGCCATGAGGTCGAAGGAATTGTCCGTAGAGCTCCGAGACAGGATTGTGTCGAGGCATAGATCTGGGAAAGTTACCAAAAAAATTCTGCAGCATTGGAGGTCCCTAAGAACACAGCGGCCTCCATCATTCTTAAATGGAAGAAGTTTGGAACCACCAAGACTATTCCTAGAGCTGGCCGCCCGGCCAAACTGAGCAATCGGGGGAGAAGGGCCTTGGTCAGGGAGGTGACCAAGAACCCAATGGTCACACTCTGACAGAGCTCCAGAGTTCCTCTGTGGAGATGGGAGAACCTTTCAGAAGGACAACCATCTCTGCAGCACTCCATCAATCAGGCCTTTATGGTAGAGTGGCCAGACGGAAGCCACTCCTCAGTAAAAGGTACATGACAGCCCACTTGGAGTTTGCCAAAAGGCACCTAAAGGACTCTCAGATCATGAGAAACAAGATTCTCTGGTCTGATGAAACCAAAATTGAACTCTTTGGCCTGAATGCCAAGCGTCACGTCTGGAGGGTACCTGGCACCATCCCTACGGTGAAGCATGGTGGTGGCAGCGTCATACTGTGGGGATGTTTTTCAGTGGCAAGGACTGGGAGACCAGTCAGGATCGAGGGAAAGATGAACGGAGCAAAGTACAGACAGATCCTTGATAAAAACCTGCTCCAGAGCGCTCAGGAACTCAGACTGGGGTTCACCTTCCAACAGGACAATGACCCTAAGCACACAGCCAAGACAAAGCAGGAGTGGCTTCGGGACAAGTATCTGAATGTCCTTGAGTGGCCCAGCCAGAGCCCAGACTTGAACCCGATCGAACATCTCTGGAGAGAACTGAAAATAGCTGTGCTCCCCATCCAACCTGACAGATCTTGAGAGGATCTGCAGAGAAGAATGGGAGAAACTCCCCAAATACAGGTGTGCCAAGCTTGTAGCATCATACCCAAGAAGACTCGAGGCTGTAATCGCTGCCAAAGGTGCTTCAACAAAGTACTGAGTAAAGGGTCTGAATATTTATGCAAATGTCATATTTCCATTTTTTTTTTTTTATAAATTAGAAAACATTTCTAAAAACCTGTTTTTGCTTTGACATTATGGAGTATTGTGTGTAGACTGATTTTTTTTTTTTAAAGCAATTGTACAATAAGTCTGTAACATAACAAAATGTGGAAAAGTCAAGGGGTCTGAATAATTTCCGAATGCACTGTAACCCATTGACCATGCTGACTGTAGCCACGAGGTACAAGAGCACAGCCATACACCATACATTTGGTTTGGGGAAATCCACAAAGCCACTTGGAGGATAACAACAACTACAGTAAATGCACACATATACACTACTGTAGTTTACTGGAGGACTACAGTGCAGGCCATACACCCATACATACACCATGCCTTAAAAGCAAAGACAAATACAATAAAAGACTCCTTGGAAGGATGCATCTGATTTAACTTTTTTGAAAGTCCAAATGGTGCTTTTTCCACAAAGCCCCATGCATAAGAACCGACACAACACACACACACACACAATACATTCCCATTCATGCAACAGACACGGTTAAGATTCAGAGGGTGATTGGGCACAGACAAAATAACAAGCACAGAACTGCTGCTTAGCTTACACGTCTGCCTTTGCTAGTTGGCCCAACGGATGGAGAGCGCTTCAGTGGGGGGAGGGAGAGAGGGATAGAAAAATGGAAAGATGTCAACATTGAGAAGTCTGAAGTGGCTCTTAAATAGGTCACATAAAAAGGAATGGTAGCCTATCTATTTGCTGAGGATGTCCTTTCCACATTGCACTGAAGGACACTGCCTGGATTGGGTAATATCTGCCTGGATTGGGTAATATCTGCCTGGATTGGGTAATATCTGCCTGGATTGGGTAATATCCGTCTACGTCCCAAATGGCACTCTATTCCCTACATAGTGCACTACTTTGACTACAGCCCCTGATCAAAAGTAGTGAATAGGGTGCGATATGGGACAGAGTCTCTAGGACTAATAGGGGAACTCATGATGGTACTACCAGTGTGGAAGGGAAGCTCACTACAGAGTATTAAACAGTATGTTCTGTAGTGTCTGGACTCAAAGCCAAGTAGCCATGGATGACATCAAACAATGTCTGTATACTAAGTGGGAGGAATCGGCTCATTATACAAACATTCTTTCAAGTCTTGACTAAAAGCCAAGGAGCCCAAACTCTGCTGCTGCAAACCCCACTCACGCAATGGCTATTTTCCGTTTCTCCCCCTTTTCCTGAAGTGAGCATTTTCTCACATGGATTTAACAATGGTGGAAACTCCCTCTAGCCAATTCTTATATCAACCCTATGCTTTTAAATGGATGACGCGGAATGTGCAAGTGCACAATTTGGAAGAAGGGTGGAAAATTGGGATGTAGCCAAAGACTGGGTATGCCACTGATCCAAACCTACATTCACAGAAGACTCATTGGCTAGTAGGCTTATCTACTCACACAGGACTAGCTATGATGCTCACAGATACACACACAGGCGAACACAGAGAGGTATGGTTCACTCACTCACACAAACACTGGATCAAATCACCACACTCTTTCTGAGGCCACTAGCTTATAGTCTATCTACAGTCTAGAGCTCCACACCCGTCGGCCCAACAGAAACTTACGTCTTCCCAAAACTCAATTAAAGAGGATGAGGATGAGGATAAAGAGTCCTGACGGAGCAGAACATGAAAGCAAGTAGAACCAAATAAAAACAAGATGTGAAATATTTACACAAATGAAAGAAATACAATTAATAAAATAAAATGAATGTTCTGAACAAAATCAATGTTTAAAAAAAAAGTGAAGGAAGACACTGTCACTCAACAACAGAAGAGAGGTCTTTAAACATTTCCTCTAATCTTTAAACAAGTCAGAGACCGTGGAATTTAGAACAGATTATTAAAAGCCTTCCTGTCTGTAAAGTGCGAGGGATGGCTACTTACATCGAACTGGTCCAAGGCTGAGGTGGGGGCGTTGAGGAAGGCCAGAAAAGAGTTCTGGGAGTCCTGGTGCTTCACACCTACACAAAACAACCATACCAGAGACCAGAATCACATCACCATGCTGTCCTAAATGCAGCACAGAGAAAGTAGAAAACCATTGCGCTCTCCCAGTTTCATACATTGAAAGTTTCTTAGTTGGTGCTTAAGACCAGTTATTCCATACATAGAAAAACTAAAAGGTCGGCACTCAAAAATAATTGATAGTGTGGAGAGGAGAAACATAGGTCAGAGGTGATGGTTCCAGTCTCACCCCTGCGCAGGCGGAGCTCCTCCGTCTCCTTCTTCAGCCTCTCTATCTCAGCTAGCAGGTCCTGGTTCTTAGTGTCCGACTCCTGCAGCTTACTGAGGAGAGAGGAGGATGGATGAGCCAGAGAATGTCAACAATGCCAAATCAAATCACGCAAACGTAACAGAGCAATGGTTTAGGTGCACGCTCTCGACTGATTGCAATGTACTGCACTAGAATGTGCCCGATATCCCATGTTCCCTTTTTGAACAATAACGATTTTCTAAGTCTCAGTGTAGTTCTTAGACTAAGTAAGAACTTAAAGGTAGAAGGAAGTAAGTAAGAGCAGCAGTGGTCGTACCACTCAGTGGAGATGTTGGAGGCCTTGACTTTGTTCAGTTCGTCCTGGATGGTCTGTTTGGCTCTGATCTCAGCGTCCAGTGCAGACTGCAGCTCCAGACGGGCAGACATGTCCAGCTTAGCAAACCTCCGCACCTTCCACGGCATGTCCTGCTGTAGGGGGGAAAGGAGGGAGAGAGAGGAGAGTGAAAGGAACATAAATGACGAAGGGTAAGTTCAATGCAGATGTGAGGAGAGAGGTACAGATGTGCTTGCGTGCGTGCGTGTGTGTGTGTGTGTGTCTCACCGTGGCCCTGGCACCCAGGCTGGTGTTTCTCAGTCCCTCCAGCTCCTCCGTCATCTTAGTGGCCAGAGCCTGGAGGTAGCCTCGTGCATCCTTCTCATCGCTCACCCTGGAACACACACACATTACACACAAACAGAGAACACATTCACTGACATCATTATACAAACACACACACACACACCCTGTAGGAAGCCCCACCCTGTAGGTAGTACACAAACTCGTTGGCCGTGTAACACAGTCAATAAATACAGGTATATGAGTAGCCCTCACAATTAACTCACAAACCACAGTCTCTGTTACATACGTTATCATCATATCCAAACTGTCACTTTAACTGGACTACAAGATTACAATACGGTTACGATAACTTGCCATTACACTGTATTGAGTATTAGACTAAGAATGTATGCCAAATGGCACCCTATTCCCGATATAGTGCACTGCGTTTCCCGAAATAGTGCACTATAAAGGAATAGGATGCCAGTTGGGACTCAGCCTAAATAGGCCCAGAGCCAGAGTTCTGTGTACATACTGTGGACATAGAGGGTTCTGAACCTTCCTTGCCAGTACATACACATTTCCCCCACTAGGGGTCTCTATGGTCCATACAGGAGCTCTGGTCGTCACTAGTTACCACAGTCTTAACCCTAACCTCAACCACAGTGCTAACCTTATGCCTAACCCTAACCTTACATTAAAACCAAAAAGCATATTTTGGTTTTTATGATTTTTTACAATATTGCCAATATGTGCTATCTAGTGGAAACCAGGTTTCTCCTACTGCAGTGTCCTGGAGTGGCAGGCAGGGGGCACCACTCACCATTGTATCAGTTCAGTGTTGCAGTGTGTGTGTGTGTGTGTGTAAGCATGTGTGTGTGCGCACGTGCATGTATGTCCTGTATGTCTCTCCACCCCTCACCACTGTATGATCTCAGTGATCTGGGCCTCCCAGTGAGCAACGCTCTCCTTCTTGTCAGCCAGCTCCCTCATCTCCTCCTCCAGCTGTCTGTTGCTGCTGCTCAGCTTCTCAAACATGGAGGTCAGCTAGAGGAGAGAGGAGAGGAGAGGAGAGAGGGCAACACAAAGTCAATCAGAGCCATAGATATTATACAGAGTTTGGCAACCTCAGCAGATATTGCGATTTAACTTTAATTTGAGACATGTTGCGCCAGAGTTTCAAGGGTATGACAGGGTGGGGAAAGGCAGGGCAGGGTTGGAGAAGGGGAAAGAGGGACAGAGAGAGGGGAGAAAAGCTTAGGGCAGGAGGTAAGAAAGTTAGGGAAGGGAGAGGGGGCATAAAAAGAGGGGACAGGGTACAGGGGAAGGGTAAAAGAAGAGGGGAGAGAAGGGCAGGCCAGGGGGGATCCCAACAAAGGGTAGGGTGGGTAGAGAGAAGAGAGAGAGGGGGAGGAGGGCAGGGAGGTGGAAAGAGGGGCTCACTAGTCATCTATATAATACATTATGATCGATGATGTCATAAGTGCTGATCCTAGCACTCGTTGCAACAACTGGCCATTTATAAATACATGTAGCTAGCTTGGTAATTATAACCTACTTGACAGTTGCAGAGGGAGTGTGTTTTAGCGTAATGGTTTGACAGTAGGAAATTATTACTGGGCATATTGCAAAAAAGTGGCAAGTAGGTTGTTGGTTGATATAGGACCAGCAAAACAATGGTAAGTGCAAGCTAACATGGACCCAGAGTTATAATACACAGTTTGAAGGATAATTTAAACAGGCTAAACATAATATTTCCAAGGTAACCTTGTATTTGTTGACATTTCTGCATTTATTTCAGAACGAAAACAACTAGCTTTAGACAAAAAAATAAATAAAAAATAAACATCTCATCATTCACAGAAAAAAAAATACGTTATAATCTGATCCCTGTGTTCTGGCTTTCATGCTGAAAGCATGTGAAACAGAATAGTGCACTACTTTTGACCAGTCCCCTATGCGCCCTGGTCAGAAGTGATGCACTACAAATGGAATAGGGTGTAATTTGGGACGCGGCCAATGATATGTGCTTCTCCCTATTCCTCCAGGTTGTGCATGTGTTCAGGAAGTGTTGGGGAATGTTCCCTATTTTCCACATGCACCCTGGGTGCTATCAACTTCAAGGCATTGCTTTATACTTAATATGCAATACCATAAAAACAAACATCACTTTTAATATGATACGTCAGAACTCCTACAAAAGTATTTTGTTTGGGAACTTCCATTTCTCATTCCCATTTTTCCCACTTCCAAAGTCAATAGTTTGGGATCCAACGGGCCGTTCCATTTGCGTGTGTAGGAGACCGTGGTTTGAAAGTGGATATAGATGAACAGTGATTATATTGGCTTTGCCAAGAGAGAAGGGTGGAGGTGGGGGGAGTCATATGATGCGAGAATTGGGATGTGTGTGTGAAAGGGTTACCTCAGGTCAGGGCAGTGTGTGTGAGTGTGTGTGTGTGTGTGTGTAACATCTCACCTTGTCCAGTTCACTGGAGAGCTTCTTGTTCTCCTCTGTCAAAATGACCCTCTCCCTCTCGTACTTCTGCTTGTACTCCGTCTCAAACTCTTCACGCTCGCTTTGGCTGCCACACACACACACAAGAGACCGACACACACATTCAGATGATCCATCATCACTTACACACACACACATCAATCACACACTATGCCTGCTATTCAGAGCAAGGTCCGAAGATTACACTCATAGGCCAGATAAGGTGTTTTGAGACAAAGACCAGTCAGATATGCCCTATTAATCTCAACCACATTAATACTGTTAAAGAGACTTTCCAGGGGCCAGATCTGCATCCCAAATGGCATCCCATTCCCTATGGGCCATGGTCAAAAGTAGTGCACTAAATAGGGAAGAGGGTGCCATTTGGGACGCACCCCAGTTTGAACTAGGCAAGCCAGGGATGCTAAGCTGGAGGGTAGAAAAACAACATCTTATAGCTTTATATTTCTCCAGTGTCAGTCTGTATTAGGTGTCGTTAGCTTAGAGAAATGTTGCTTCTTGGACAGAGGCAGAGGGGGATAACACCAGCTAGATCTAAGGGCCTCTAAGACATGAACAAGGGCCTTCTCAGGAGCTAAGTCAGAAGAGAGAAGGTAACTAATGTTAAACTACACTGTGAGTACAGCACAGTAGAGGCCAGGGTGAAGTAACTTTAACCATGTTTACCTCGTATAAACCTCGCTGGAAAGAAGATGACGAGTACACTGTCAGGTAAGTACTACTACAGAGAGACAGTAACTGTCCTACTGAATATGTCAACTCTATAGGCCCGTTTCCCAGTCCCAGATTAATAAACCTATTACTGGACTAAAAAGTACTTTCAATGGAAATGTTCAAGTAGATAGACAAACAACGGCAGTTAGATCTAAGGAACTCTAAGACATGTACAAGAGTCTTCTCAGGAGCAAGGTCACAATAGGAGGTAGGGTTGTCATGATACCAGTATCGTGATACTCAGATGGATCTTAGCAAGGAACATGAAGAATTGAAGGGGACTTAATATCTTAAGGAAAACCGTTCTTAACTGCCTTTTGTTGTCACATGTTTATTTCCAAAGCTTTAGCACACAATATTTGACATAAAGCAGGTTTTTAAAGGAGCAAAGAGTTTAGTCTGCTTGGTGGTTTTTTGCCATGGAAAATGTTTATACCATGACACTGCTATGGTGACAGTCCTAATAGGAGGTATCTAAGATCTAACTACACTGTGAGCACAGTAGAGTCCAGGGTGAAGTAACTTTGACCAAGTTTACCTCGTATAACCCTCGCTAGAAAGAAGGGGAAGAAAACAGTCGGGCATGTATAGTATGTCTCCATTTACTACAAAGAGTTTTGACCAGAACCATGAATGCTTTGTCTAGGTCTGTAAATTGACTGTCCTATATGTCAATTTTATAAGTCTATGAGTGTTGTGGATATCCAAATTTAGTAAGGCGGTAACGCACATAACCCATGACACACACAAAGAAATACATATGTAGACAGACAAGACAAACACACGCACCTCTCCCTGCGCGTCTTATCCAGTTTGTCCTTGAGGACCAGGATCTCCTTCTGCAGGGTGAGCTGCTGTCCCTCTGCGTCGCGGAGCTCCTTGCGGAGGCCCTTGAGCTCGTTGGCGTGCTGCGCCTCCCTCCTGCTCAGCTCCTCCTCGTAGAACACGGTCTTCTTCTCCAGGTCGGCACGCAGCTTCCCCACCTCCTGGCTCTGGTCCGAGCCCACCACCGAAGCTGATGGCCCCACCTGCTTCTAGTTCAGGGGAAGAGAGGAGTTAGCCACATACACACAACAAGGGGTGTGTTCATTAGTGCACGCCGGAGCGAAACGTTTTGCAATGGAAAGGTTTGCTTCCCTTTGGTTCCTAGTGAATACACCCAATGTGTGTGTGTTTTGTGTGTAACAGTATTGCTTCCGTCCCTGTCCCTGTTCCTGTTCCGGATTGGGCTCAAACCAGGGACCCTCTGAACACATCGAGAAGTGTCATCCATGAAGTAGCGCTTTCAGTCGCGCCACAAAACAACGACTTCTAGGTCTCAGAGTGAGTGACGCCGTCGATTGAACGCTACGCTAACTAGCTAGCCATTTCACATTGCCTACATGTGCGTCTCTGACTACAAGTCGTTCTCGCTACTCCTGAGTGGCGCAGTGGTCTAAGGCACTGCATCGCAGTGCTAACTGTGCCACTAGAGACCCTGGTTCGAATCCAGGCTCTGTCGCAGCCGGCCGCGACCGGGAGACTCATGGGCGGCGCACAATTGGCCCAGCGTCGTCCAGGGTAGGGGAGGGAATGGCCGGCAGGGATGTAGCTCAGTTGATAGAGCATGGCGTTTGCAACGCCAGGGTTGTGGGTTCGATTCCCACGGGGGGCCAGTATAAAAAAAAAAATGTATTCACTAACTGTAAGTCGCTCTGGATAAGAGCGTCTGCTAAATGACTAAAATGTAAATGTAAAAGACGTAACTCATCATTCTCTTACCCTTTTTAGGAGACGTAACTCATAATTCTCTTACCCTTTCTAGAAGACGTAACTCATCATTCTCTTACCCTTTTTAGGAGACGTAACTCATAATTATCTTACCCTTTCTAGAAGACGTAACTCATAATTCTCTTACCCTTTCTAGAAGACGTAACTCATTCTCTTACCCTTTCTAAAAGACGTAATGCATAATTCTCTTACCCTTTCTAGAAGACGTAACTCATAATTCTCTTACCCTTTCTAGAAGACGTAACTCATAATTCTCTTACCCTTTCTAGAAGACGTAACTCATCATTCTCTTACCCTTTCTAGAAGACGTAACTCATAATTCTCAATGAATGGTGAGTTACGTCTTCTAGAAAGGGTAAGAGAATGGTGAGTTACGTCTTCTAGAAAGGGTAAGAGAATGGTGAGTTACGTCTTCTAGAATGGGTAAGATAATTATGAGTTACGTCTTCTAGAAAGGGTATCTGTGTGTGTGTTAGTGTGTGTGTGTTAGTGTGTGTGTGTGTGTGTGTTAAGAGGTCTTCACGGATCCACCTGTACCCGAATACCCGAGACCCGATACGGAATTTAAAAGTTAAAGGTGAAGGATAGGCTACAACGACCAAGAGCCAACAGGCAGGCTGCTACTTTATATTCTGAATGGAGTTGTTGTTTGTAACTGTGTAGGACGAGAAAGCGCATGCAGACTCAATTAGCCTAGCTAGCTGCTAGCTAGATAGCTTAACTAGCTTCTCCCTGTTTGATGCAGTCAAGAAAGGTACTACGTAATCATATTGCATGATAAATAACCTAGCTAACGGGTCTAGTTGTCCGCGGGTCCATTCGGAACGGGTCTCTATATTTTACAAATTAATTTATGCATATCAGGTCCGGATGGGAAAGCCCCAGGTCCATTTCGGTACGGGTCCAACGTTTTGGACCTGTGAAGGCCTCCAGTGTGTGCTACCTTGAGTCCGTCCAGCTCCTCCTCTAGCTGTCTGCAGTACTGCTCTGATCGTTCTCTCAGCTTCCTCTCCTTCTGAGAGTCTGCGGTCTGCTCCTCGGACTGGGCCTCCATCTGAGACACATCCAGCAAGGGGTTAATGCACGCACACACACACACACACACACACACAGTAGAAGCCAACACACAGATCTTCCTTCACGTAGACATGCACACACTAACTACCATAAACTTAACAGGTAAAAAACATCCAACAGACAGACACACCAATACCTCGAAGAACCACAGGAATCACGCGACTACTCTACCTCCTTCTTGGCCCTCTCGGCCTTGCGCACCTCCAGCCGTAGAGCCTCCACCTTCTGGGACAAACCCTCCATCTCCTCCTCCTTGTCCCGGAGCTGGCGGCCCAGGCGCTGCTTGGTTGATCTGAGGTCAGTCAGACGCTCGTTGAGCTCGGAGAACTCCTGCATGGCCAGCTTCCTCTGGCTGTGGGCTTCTTTCAACTCCTTAGACTGACTCTTCATCTTCTCACTGGCCTCCATTAAGTCCTATAGGGAATGAGGGTTAGGGTTAGTGGCTGATACTGAGTGACTGGGAGTAACACCCAGGTGGGTGCTATATGTTGTATCGAGACCTAGGGAAGTCACACACCGACACACCAACACCCACACCCACCTTGTGCAGGTCGTCCCTCTCCAGGTTGAGGCTCTTCATCTGTTTCTCCAGGCTCCTGATGTGTTTGGATGAGTCCTCCATTTCTCGACGGGCTGACGTAGCTTCCTCCAACTTCTGCTCCAGTTGACCTGAGTCTAACACACACACACATTACCCACATTACAGAGGGTCAATGTTGTTATACACAACTTTATCCAATATGCATTACATATGATGTATGTTTTCGGTCATTATATATTTCATTGTACAGGTCATTGACTATGCAATTGCCATAATGAACCTGGCTGTTTACTGTATGCATTATGGATTGCCAGTTATTATGTCTTCCTAGTCATTACTGTCTATCTTTCCATTATGTATGCACTTGCCCATTATGTATAATGTATTTCCAGTCCGACTGACCTGGCTGGAATTTGTTTGTGTTCTACTACACAGTCAAATCTTTACAGTTGAATGTTTACCTGCGATCTGTTTCTTGAGGATGTCAATCTCAGTCTTCAGACTCCTGATCTCCACCTCCTTGCTAGAGGGGACGGGTGCTGGTCCTTCTCCTGACGCGTGCTGCAGGGCCTGGACTGTCTGGGTCGACTCTGGAAGAGGAACGAGGAGAGGGTAAGGAGAGGAGGAAAGGAGAGTGTGAAAGTACTAGAGAGACGGTGTGTAAATTAAACATCTGGAGAGTGGCCTGGATGAGGAGGAGACAGGTTAAATAATGATGTTTTAGCCTTGAGACAATTGAGACATGGATTGTGTATGTGTGCAATTCAGAGGGTGAATGAGCAAGACAAAATATTTAAGTTCCTTTGAACGGGGTGTGGTAGTAGGTGCCAGGCGCACCGGTTTGTGTCAAGAACTGCAACGCTTCTGGGTTTTTCACAGTTTCCCGTGTGTATGAAGAATAGTCCACCACCCAAAATATATCCAGTCAGCTTGATACAACTGTGGGAAACATTGGAGTCAACATGGGCCAGCACCCTGTGGAACGCTTTCGACACCTTGTAGAGTCCATGGCCCCAACGAATTGAGGCTGTTCTAAGAGGAAAAGGGGGGAGTCTCCAACTCAATATTCGTAATGTTTTGTACACTCAGTGTATATGTGCGTCTATGTGTGTACCTAGCAGCTTGCGGCTGAGCTCGGTCTTCTCCTGCTCCAGACGTCGTATCCTCCTCTCATAGGCCTCGGTGGCCAGACTCTCCTCCAGACTGCGCTGGACACACACATCCATCTGGGCCGGACCCGAACCGCCTGACTCCCTCAGACAGCCCCGGTCAGACAGGGTACTGAAGGGGGGGAGAAAGAGGAGAGAGAGAGGGGGAGAGAAAGTGAGGGGAAAGAAAGGAGAGAGAGAGGGAGTGAGAGAGAGAGAGAGAGAGCAAGGGGGAGAGAGAAAAACCACTATTAACAAACCATTAGCCTTCAGGCTAGGATAAGATGACAATCAGATGATTCAATAGTTTCTCACTGGTGGGAAATTGAGTGCTAGTTTAAGTGTGGAATGAGGTTAGATCAGATGATAGAAAAGTAGGAGTGAAGTAGCCTGGTCCCAGATCTGATTGTGCTGTATAGTCCATGCTCAGAACAACCATAGGGGTTGGCAAGACAGCACAAACAGATCTGGGACCAGGCTAGCAGTGAGGATGTATTTTTATGTATGCTGTATCTATTAACAAAGCTGTGGAAGTAAACGTTGTAACTGAAGACAAATTGCTGTTTAGCGGCCACTCACCATTTACTTGTGTAGGTGAAGCCTACGAAGGGCAGGTGGTGTCCAGAGAAGGCCGTGTGAGAGGGAGGGGGCATCGTCTCCTGACACAACACAAAACACATTTGATTAAAACACACCTCAACAACATTGCAGACCGATGAGAGAGATGAAGGAGCAATAAAAGATGGAAACAGAGACGGAAAGCTGAGAATAAGAAAGACTCTTTAAGTCTTGATGTAGTCCCATAAAGAGAGACTTACCGAGTTCTTGAGACAGTCGTCGTCCACGTCAAAGTTGGATGTGTCTGTGGGGCTGCTGACTTCTGGTATGTAGGGGGCCTCGCACGTACGGATGTTGTCCCAGTCAATGCCTGACAGGAATGACACAAATTGGCATTACAGTTTCGTACTGTTATATTTATCATAATATACCGTTTCTTATTGTCGTTTAAAATCGTATCACTACCGTCTAGTCTCACTTCAACGGCAATCATCACGATGAAAGCAGCCATCGTAATTTCATCTTGATGATTGGAGTTAGACAGAGTTATCGCGATAATAGACAAAGTTATACAGACAAGAGTTAACGCGATATAGACAGTTAATGCGATACAGACAGAGCTCCCTCAAACGGTTTCAAGCCCTACCAGAGAAGAAGGGGTGAGATTTGAAGTCCTCAATGCCGTTCTGGCCCAGGCGGTGCTCCCGGCTGCAGATGAGGCGTCGGATTAGGTCCTTGGCGTCTTCGGACACGTCCGTCATCTGCAGGGGGAACTGGAAACGCTCCTGGGGACCCGGTTGAGGGAGGAGGGAAAGGAGTCAGAATAATGAGGATATGTCCCTAATGGTACCTTATTCCCTATTTAGTGCAGTACTTTTGACCAGGGAATAGGGTACCATTTGGGATGCAACCTAAATATATTGTTTGCGTAAAGTTGTCAAATCTTTCTATTTCTAGTATATTTTTACTGATCATGCATGTTCCGCTATTGCAGTAGACAGCAGTATAGTTCTATACTGTTTGCATAATAACATTTATATAATTATTTTCCCGTTTCATTAATTTATTTGTGTACATGGCCCTTGACAAAGAAGCATAGTACATATATACACTGCTCCAAAAAATAAATGGAACACTTAAACAACACATCCTAGATCTGAATGAATGAAATCATCTTATTAAATACTTTTTTCTTTACATAGTTGAATGTGCTGACGACAAAATCGCACAAAAATTATCAATGGAAATCAAATTTATCAACCCATGGAGGTCTGGATTTGGAGTCACCCTCAAAATTAAAGTGGAAAACCACACTACAGGCTGATCCAACTTTGATGTAATGTCCTTAAAACAAGTCAAAATGAGGCTCAGTAGTGTGTGTGGCCTCCACGTGCCTGTATGACCTCCCTACAACGCCTGGGCATGCTCCTGATGAGGTGGCGGATGGTCTCCTGAGGGATCTCCTCCCAGACCTGGACTAAAGCATCCGCCAACTCCTGGACAGTCTGTGGTGCAACGTGGCGGTGGTGGATGGAGCGAGACATGATGTCCCAGATGTGCTCAATTGGATTCAGGTCTGGGGAACAGGCGGGCCAGTCCATTGCATCAATCCATTCCTCTTGCAAGAACTGCTGACACACTCCAGCCACATGAGGTCTAGCATTGTCTTGCATTAGGAGGAACCCATGGCCAACCGCACCACTATATGGTCTCACAAGGGGTCTGAGGATCTCATCTCGGTACCTAATGGCAGTCAGGCTACCTCTGGCGAGCACATGGAGGGCTGTGCAGCCCCCCAAAGAAATGCCACCCCACACCATGACTGACCCACCGCCAAACCGGTCATGCTGGAGGATGTTGCAGGCATCAGAACGTTCTCCACAGCGTCTCCAGACTCTGTCACGTCTGTCACATGTGCTCAGTGTGAACCTGCTTTCATCTGTGAAGAGCACAGGGCGCCAGTGGCGAATTTGCCAATCTTGGTGTTCTCTGGCAAATGCCAAACGTCCTGCACGGTGTTGGGCTGTAAGCACAACCCCCACCTGTGGACGTCGGGCCCTCATACCACCCTCATGGAGTCTGTTTCTGACCGTTTGAGCAGACACATGCACATTTGTGGCCTGCTGGAGGTCATTTTGCAGGGCTCTGGCAGTGCTCCTCCTGCTCCTCCTTGCACAAAGGCGGAGGTAGCGGTCCTGCTGCTGGGTTGTTGCCCTCCTACGGCCTCCTCCACGTCTCCTGATGTACTGGCCTGTCTCCTGGTAGCGCCTCCATGCTCTGGACACTACGCTGACAGACACAGCAAACCTTCTTGCCACAGCTCGCATTGATGTGCCATCCTGGATGAGCTGCACTACCTGAGCCACTTGTGTGGGTTGTAGACTCCGTCTCATGCTACCACTAGAGTGAAAGCACCGCCAGCATTCAAAAGTGACCAAAACATCAGCCAGGAAGCATAGGAACTGAGAAGTGGTCTGTGGTCACCACCTGCAGAACCACTTCTTTATTGGGGGTGTCTTGCTAATTGCCTATAATTTCCTCCTGTTGTCTATTCCATTTGCACAACAGCATGTGAAATGTATTGTCAATCAGTGTTGCTTCCTAAGTGGACAGTTTTAATTTCGCAGAAGTGTGATTGACTTGGAGTTACATTGTGTTGTTTAAGTGTTCCCTTTATTTTTTTTAGCAGTGTATATATACACACACTACCGGTCAAAGGTTTTAGAACACCTACTCATTCAAGGGTTTTTCTTTATTTTTACTATTTTCTACATTGTAGAATAATAGTGAAGACATCAAAACCATGAAATAACACATATGGAATCATGTATTAACCAAAAGTGTTAAACAAATCAAAATATATTTTATATTTGAGATTCTTCAAATGGCAATCCTTTGCCTTGATGACAGTTTTGCACACTCTTGGCATACTCACAACAAACGTCAATGCATTTCAATTAACAGGTGTGCCTTCTTAAAAGTTAATTTGTGGAATTTCTTTCCTTTTTAATGCGTTTGAGCCAATCAGTTATGTTGTGACAAGGTAGGGGGGGTATACAGAAGATAGCCCTATTTGGTAAAAGACCAAGTCCATATTATGGCAAGGACAGCTCAAATAACCAAAGAGAAATGACAGTCCATCATTACTTTAAGACATGAAGGTCAGTCAATACGGAACATTTCAAGAACTTTGAAAGCTTCTTCAAGTGCAGTCGCAAAACCCATCAAGCGCTATGATGTTCATTAGAGTTACCAGCCTCATAAATTGCTGCCCAAATAAATGCTTCACAGAGTTCAAGTAACAGACACATCTCAACATCCACTGTTCAGAGGAGACTGTGTGAATCAGGCCTTCATGGTCGAATTGCTGCAAAGAAACTACTACTAAAGGACACCAATAAGAAGAAGAGACTTGCTTGGGCCAAGAAACACAAGCAATGGACATTAGACCGGTGGAAATGTGTCCTTTGGTCTGGAGTTCAAATTTGAGATTTTTGGTTCCAACCGCTGTGTCTTTGTGAGACGCGGTGTGGGTGAACGGATGATCTCCGAATGTGTATTTCCCACCGTAAAGGGTGCTGGTGACACTGTCTGTGATTTATTTAGAACTCAAGGCACACTTAACCAGCATGGCTACCACAGCATTCTGCAGCGATACGCCATCCCATCTGGTTTGGGCTTAGTGGGACTATCATTTGTTTTTCAACAGGACAATGACCCAACACACCTCCAGGCTGTGTAAGGGCTATTTTACCAAGAAGGAGAGTGATGGAGTGCTGCATCAGATGACCTGGCCTCCACAATCCCCAGACCTCAACCAAATTTGAGAATCACCACTCTCGACGGGTCTGACCTAGAGTATGTGGACAACTACAAATACCTAGGTGTCTGGTTAGACTGTAAACTCAACTTCCAGACTCACATAAAGAATCTCCAATCCAAAGTTAAATCTAGAATCGGCTTCCTATTTCGCAACAAAGCCTCCTTCACTCATGCTGCCAAACATGCCCTCGTAAAACTGACTATCCTACCGATCCTTGACTTCGGCGATGTCATTTATAAAATAGCCTCCAACACTCTACTCAGCAAATTGGATGTAGTCTATCACAGTGCCATCCGTTTTGTCTCCAAAGCCCCATACACTACCCACCACTGTGACCTGTACGCTCTTGTTGGCTGGTCCTCACTACATGTTCGTCGTCAAACCCACTGGCTCCAGGCCATCTATAAATCACTGCTAGGCAAATCCCCGCCTTATCTTAGCTCATTGGTCACCATAGCAGCACCCACCCGTAGTCTGCGCTCCAGCAGGTATATCTCACTGGTCATTCCCAAAGCCAACACCTCCTTTGGCCGCCATTCCTTCCAGTTATCTGCTGCCAATGACTGGAACGAATTGCAAAAATCTCTGAAGCTGGAGACTCTTATCTCCCTCAATAACTTTAAGCATCAGCTGTCAGAGCACCTTACCGATCACTGCACCTGTACACAGCCCATCTGAAATTAGCCCACCCAACTACCTCATCCCTATATTGTTATTTATTTTGCTCTTTTGCACCCCAGTATCTCTATTTGCACATAATCTCTTGCACATCTAGCATTCCAGTGTTAATACTATTGTAATTATTTTTCACTATAGCCTATTTATTGCCTTACCTCCATAACTTGCTACATTTGCACACATTGTATATATATTTTCTGTTGTATTTTTGACTTTATGTTTTTTACCCCATATGTAACTCTGTGTTGTTTTTATTGCACTGCTTTGCTTTATCTTGGCCAGGTCGCAGTTGTAAATGAGAACCTGTTCTCAACTGGCTTACCTGGTTAAATAAAGGTGAAATAAAAAAAATAAAAAAATAAAATTGAGATGGTTTGGGATGAGTCGGAACGCAGAGTGAAGGAAAAGCATCCTTCAAAACTATTGGAAAAGCATTCCAGGTGAAGCTGGTTGAGAGAATGCCAAGAGCGTGCAAAGGGTGGCTATTTAAAGAATCTCAAATATATTTTGATTTGTTTAACACTTTTTCGGTTACTACATGATTCCATATGTGTTATTTCATAGTTTTGATGTCTTCACTATTATTCTACAATGTAGAAAATAGTAAAAATAAAGAAAAACCCTTGAATGAGTAGGTGTTCTAAAACTTTTGACCGGTAGTGTATATATATATATATTTTTGTTTCATATAGCCCATGCATGTTTCTCCTATTGCAGTAGAAAGCAGTATAGTTCTATGCAAGATGGTTTGATGCACACACTTAAGGCATTCTTTCAGCCAATATGGCTGCCGGGTGAAGGTATAGTTGAAAGGTGATGGAAAGGGAGAGGGGGCAGAGTTAGGAAGGTAGAGCGGAGTGGTTTGGAGTCAGGATAGGCTGAAACTAACTATGAACAGACCTGGGGTCGTATGTATCAATCGTCTCAGAGTAGTGCTAATCTAGGATCAGGTCCCATCTGTCCATATAATCTCATTCATTATGATCTAAAAGGCTAAACTGATCTTAGACCAGCATTCCTATTCTAAATCGCTTGATACATCCATCCCCTGAACAGAACATACTCAAACTTTAACGACAAACACTCAGACCCAGTCCCAAATTGACCCCAAGCGACCTACCCCCTATGCGCTTGTGGAGATCTGAGAGGAATCTAGAAGTGCATAGGGGGTAGGGAATAGGGGTCCATTTGGGACTGGGCAATCAGACCCCCAAAAATAAACACTCACAGCAGCACCTAACTCCTCCTGTCGGACGATGGAAAGGAGAAAGGAGAAGCAAGGGGTAGAGAAGAAGGAAGAGTTGAACGCTTTGTTGTCAGAAAGAATAAAACTAACTCTATGAAACAGAAAGTACCTAGAACATACAAATTCAAACTTCAGCCTAACACCAAAGACTCCAACAACACCTAAACAATCACACTTGTCTTGAACAAAGGTTTGAATAAAAAAAAAATGTCTTATTCAAGATGGGTTTTGGTACAATAAGTACAATGTCATTACAAGTCACTATCAGCCACTAACCAGCCCTCCTCACCTTGTGGTTCATGATCTTGCCGTAGGTCTCCACCAGTGACTCTGCATAGAAGGGGGTCTCCCCATAGAGCATCTCGTACATGCACACTCCCAGGGACCACCAGTCACATTCAGGACCATACTTCCCCTTCCCATCCTCCATCGCCTGCAGGATCTCCGGGGAGATGTAGTCCGGGGTCCCCACGGCAACCGACGACTGGACCTGAGGGAGACCAGGCACAGGAGATTAATCGATTAGTGAGTGGATGGATGGATGACATGAGGGATCAACCATATAAATAATATAATACTTTATTTACAGTGCCTTGAGAAAGTATTCATACCCCTTGATTTATTCCACATAATGACAAAGTGAAAACATGTTTTTAGAAACATGGATGCACAAATATTAATACCCCTTTGCTATGACACTCCAAATTGAGCTCAGGTGCATCCAATTTCCTTTGATCATCCTTGAGATGTCACTACAACTTGATTGGAGTCCACCTGTGGCTCATTCAATTGTTTGGACATGACTTAGAAAGAAACACACCTGTCTATATACTGTCAGGTCTCATTGTTGACAGTGCATGTCAGAGCAGAAACTAAACCATAAAGTCCAAGAAACTGTCCGTAGATCTTCGAGATAGAATTGTGATAAGGCATACAGTATATCTGGGGAAGGGTATAAAACAATTTCTAGAGTCTTGACATTTTCCAAGAGCACAGTGGTCTCCATATTTGAGAAATTGTAAAAATATGGAACTACCCAGACTCTGCCTAGAGCTGGCCGTTCGATCAAACTGAGCAACCGGACAAGAAGGACCTTGACCAAGAACCCAATGACCACTCTGACAGAAATAGAGTTCCTTGGCTTAGATGGGAGAACCTGACAGAATAACAACAGTTTCTACAGCAATTCACCAATCTGGGCTTTATGGGAGAGTGGCCAGATGGAAGCTACTCCTGAGAAAAAAGCAGATGACAGCACGTCTGGAGTTTGCAAAAAGGCACATGAAAGAGAGCATAAGGCAAAATATTATGTGGTCTGATGAGACAATATTGTAACTTTATGGCCTGAATGCAAAGCGCTATGTGAAGCATGGTGGTGGTAGCATCATGCTATGGGGATGCGTTTCAGTGGCAGGGACTGGGAGACTGGTAAGGATAGAGGGAACAATGAATGGAGCCAAATACAGGCAAATCCTTGATGAGAACCTGCTGCAGAGTGCAAACGACCTTAGACTGGGGGCAAAGATTTAAGTTCCAAAAAGGACAATGACTCCAAGCATACAGCCAAAGCAACGGTGGAATGGCTTCAAAACAAGAATGTGAAAGTCCTTGAGTGGCTCAGCCAAAGCCCAGACTTGAATCCCATTGAAAATCTGTGGAAAGACTTGAAGATTACTGTTCACCGCCACTCCCCATCTATTTTAACATAGCTTGAGAAAATCTGCAAGGAAGAATAGGAGAAAATCCTCAAATCCAGATGTGCAAAGCTGATACAGACATACCCAAGACGACTCAAAGCTGTAATCGTATTGACTCAGGGGTGTGAATACTTATGTAAATGAGATATTTCTGTATTTCATTTTGAATAAATGTGCTAAAATGTCTAAAAACATGTTTTCACCTTGTCATTATTGGGGTATTCTGTGTAGATGTGAGAAACAGTTAATCAATGTTGAATTCAGTCTTTAACACAACATAATTTGGAATAATAAGGGGCATGAATACTTTCTGAAGGCAGTGTATCATCTGGAGCATTAATTTGTAATCAGGAGATGTTAATTGCATGTCTACAGTGAGTTTGGAGTCAAATACGTCCACCAAACCTGAACAAGGCCATGCCATAGAGTTCATACTACATAAATAATACTTAACTGAGACTGGGCCAAAGGAGCATCAGTCACAGCAGCTTTAGAGAGACAGGTCCTCTAAGGTCTCAACTCATTCATCAAAGCCAAGTAGCCAACCCCTTTGGAGCAGCTCAACTAGAGGAAGTGTCTTAACCACAGGCAGAGCCATGAAATCCGCCAGAGGGGAGGCCTAGAGGGGGTCGGGGGTTGATTGGTTGGTGGTTTGGAGGTGTTTGGTTTGGAACATAGCGGTGTGTGTACGTGTGTGTGTGCTCACCGTGCCGTCCTCCATGAGTTTAAGGCAGGAGCCAAAGTCAGCCAAGCGGATGTGGCCGTTCATATCCATCAGGATGTTGTCTGGCTTGATGTCCCTGAGAGAGACAGACAGAGACACCAAACTAAATATACTGATACCTCAGAGGAAGAAGGATGGATGGAGGAAGCAGGAGTGGAATAAAACGAAATACACTTATATCCCAGAAGGGGAGACTGGGAATGAGAATGAAAGAGAGCGAAAACAACTTTAACGCAACACTAGTGATTGTTTGGTGTGAGAGAAAGAGACTGTGTGTGAAGGAGAGAGAGAGATTTTGGTTCTGTAGAGAGAGTGTGTTTTCTCCTGGATGCCTTCACATCTCCCCTCATGAAGTCTTGTGTTTATTTGGTCCGTGCCCCGCCCTTGCTGCCTCTATTCCCAATAGGGCAGGCCCCTCACAGGGTTACACACACGCTCCCTGACCAGGAGACCCTGTCCTGACCACAATTCCGAGAAGGCTTTACATCCCACTTAATGCAGACAATGTCAAGCCCGTGTCTCCACTGGTCCCCTTATCAATACACTATTAATGCACAAAACATACCAGTGTAGCTGAAGCAAATCCCAGTGACGCACCCGCACAACACAAGTTGGGAGGGTTCTAGTTGGAGGGAGGGGTGTAGGTGGCAGTATGGGGGTACAGTACACCCTTCTCTGCGGAGGGAGGAGTGTAAGGGGGTTACCCCCTACTCATAAGCATGTGCATAGAGAGGTAAACAGAAGCCCTGGCTTGCTGAGAGGGTTTGGAGGGGGGGGGGGAGGGGTTCCCCCATACGGTTCGCCCTGAACCAAAAATAACAAAGGCTTCTCACTGGACAGCAGGATACTGAGGCTGCGGCCAAAATTGCACCATATTCCCTACAAAGTGCACTATCTTTTGACAAGTTGACCAGAGCCCTAGTGGCCCTGGTCAAAAGTAATGCACTTAATAGGGAATAGCTCTTGATGCCATTTGGGATTCAGACGAAAGACACAGAGAGAAGGAGCCTTTCTTTTCATGTTGAATCAAGTCAATGGGCTAAAAGGTACAGCAACACAACACCCTCCTACAAAGTAGAACTACTTACATTCGGCTCAAGTTTAGCTATAATGATACAATTAAGTAATTTCTGTGTTGTCATTCTGCCCAACCATGTCTTTAACTGTGTCTTTGACTGATCACTGACATGCCTTCTCTTCAGTACAAACTCTGTTTCCCAGTGTGCACCTCTCTCCACACCTCTGCTCCTCTACTTAACACCTCTGTGGGTGTCTCCAACCTCTCACTTTCCTTATAGGCTCAAACCTGGCCCTAGCCTGCCTGCCTCTCTCGCTCTCTGTGTGTGTGTGTTCCTAAAAATAAACCAATTAGTACCCAGTGAAACCCTGAGCCACTAACAAGCAGAGATCAAACAAACAGAACATGGCTACCACCCATCTTTCCCTCCATCTCTATCCCTCCCTGTCTCTTTCACTTGCCTCATCTCTACCTCCCTCTGTCTTTATCCACCCCCCTCTCTGTCGCTCTCTGACATTCCCTCGCTCTCTTCCTCCTCTCCTTTTCTCCCATCCAAACTCTCATTCCTCCCTCCGTCCCTCCCTGTCGGACCGCGGTGACTTGACAGTGGGCGGTGTGGGCAGGTTAATGACTCCAGGGCAGACTAGCCTGGCTAACATGGCTAACAACATTAGCAGTTGCGCCCCTAGAAAAAACACAGGGGATGCTAATGCTAAGCTAGTTAGCGTAGCGCGTTGCTAATTAGGCTGCTCTGTCTCAGGCAGGTCAGGGCTCCTGCGGTCTTAAGGAAGGAGCAGTGGGGCTGAGAATAGAGGGAGGTAATCTCCTTTAAGACCTCAACAGCATCCATCTGTGAGGGCCATCTGGCACCACACACACACACACACACACAGGGGCGGACTCGGACAAGAATTCGGCCCTGGCATTTTATCCACACAAGCCCACATCACTGCGTGCGTCGCCAACTCGGTTTGCCTCCCTGTTGTGCTGTCTCAGCATCTTCTCTGCTGTCACTCTGTGCTTCTTCTTGTTCTCTGTCTGTCTGTTTACCTGTCTGCTTAAGCCTTATACTAGGCTTGGGCAGTATACCGTACACCGGGGTATTTGGAAATAGCTATGGGATGCTTTTTCAATACCGTTGAAACTATTTTTTATTTTTTAAATGTTATACATTGGAATATTTGTAGCTACTTTTTAGGTAAATACCTGCAGTCAACTTGTGCAATACATTTGGAGATAAAGAATATTGCGTTCTTCATTTCACCCGTCACATAACTTTTCATTATGAATCTTACCGGTAGTCCCCAGTCACATGGTGTTTGTTTACAAGCACACAATGAAGAGACCGGAGCCTTGTGAGTCACTCACTGTTGTGCAGCACACGCCAGGTGATCTAGTTACAGTATGGAATTCACAACTAAATGTTTGCCAGCTAGATATCTTATAACTATTAAGTTAACTGTCAAAAATGTGCTAAATGCTCTGCAGTTGTGCATTTGGTTTGCTAATTTAGTAGCTAGTTAGCTATCTTGCTAAGTGCAAGGCATCTTGCAAAATCATGCTTCACTTGGTAACATCAGAGTATCTCCTCCTGGATACAGCCTGACTGTCCAATATTTATTTTGTGCGTGCAGCAAACTGGCTAGCATTTTTGAGTTACTTGTATAACCTAAACAGGGATGACTGTCCTGCAAATATACTAAACAGAAATATAAACGCAACATGGAACAATTTCAACAATTTTACTGAGTTACTGTTCAGTCAATTGAAATAAATTAATTAGGCCCTAATATATGGATTTCACATGACTGGGCAGGGGCGCAGCCATGGGTGAGCCTGGGAGGGCATAGGCCCACCCACTGGGGAGCCAGGCCCAGCCAATCAGAATGAGTTTTTCTCCCACAAAAGGGCTTTATTACAGACAGAAATACTCTTCAGCTGTCAGGGTGGCTGGTCTCAGACGATCCCGCATGTGAAGAAGCCAGATGTGGAGGTCCCGGGCTGGTGTGGTTACACGTGGTCTGTGGTTGTGAGGCTGGTTGGACATACTGCCAAATTCTCTAAAACAACGTTGGAGGCGGCTTATGGTAGATAAATGAACATTCAATTCTCTGGCAACAGCTCTAATGGACATTCCTGTTGTCAGCATGCAAATTGCACTCTCCCTCAACCTTTTACATGTACTTGTTAGCATTGCTAACCTACGGATCTCAGGGGCACAGTGGCGTTCAGTGCCGGTTCAGTGCCGGTATTACAGAATATCCCGGGATGTTAGAAGGTAGGTATGACAATATGGATACTGCCCAAGCCTACCTTAGACGTTATAAAAGCCAAGCTAATGGCTATATTGCAAATTAGTGCATCTCTTATGTGTTCCCATGAATCTACACCTATCCTAAGTGTTCATTACTATTACAGGGCTCCAGACTAACATTTTCTCCTGGTGTCACTGGTGCCACCAACTTTTACAGTTAGTGGCACCAGCCCATGATTTGGTCGGACCCAAATCATGAGTAATCATAAAGTAATTAATAGTGTTGTATTAAGAAGTATGATAAACAGACTACTAAGGTATTCAAGAAATAGGTTGTTTCATCTAACTCGTCCAAGCAGGAATGCATGATTAAATATATTTTTATGTGCAACCTAATCCAATGATTGTCATACATTTTGGGTTGACAAGGCTAGTTGCTACACTTTACTGTCAAAATAGAACTACAGAATTTACATTTTTTTATTATTTAATTTTTTTATGAATTACATACATCTTTATGTGTACTAACAAATATCTTAGGCTAATTCAATTTGGGGTTTAACACCTGAGAAGTGGAAACTCAAAGCACATTAACTAGATCGCTAACTAAATATAATACCCACTGCTAGTAGCCATGTATTCATCCAACAGTAAATGTTATGTCCTAAAAACACGTTGCAGTTGTAGGCTACTACACATGAGACCTATAGGCCTATGCCCTCGCAACAGCTGGTGCACATTTTGCACATCCGCGCCGGTCCATATCTCAAAGCCATATCAAATATCTTGGTTGTAAAATAGTTGCTATTGAGCTTAAAATGGAGAGTTGAGAAATAAATTATCCCTACAGAAAGCTGAGACCCTACTCTCTTCAACAGGGACAAGGGGACGAAGAATCCGAAACTGTGTTTTTCTCACAATTGCTTTTTGAAATGTCATACGATCAGAATGCATTTTTATCTCGAACACATGGGGGGAGAGGAGAGTGGCTCGCTCATTACAGCAGCAGGCCCCACTGAGGGCACAGGGCAGATACCTTCATTACAGGAATCATGAGGATATTGCACTTTACTGTTTGACCAAATCATGAGTGAGGTGACAATGTAGAATGTGCTACATTTATAGACACTCTTTTTTTATGATCCATGAACTTGGCTGTCTAACTGATGACATAGTTGGAGCAGCGCTCTTTGCTGATGCCGCGTTTGACTTTGAATGAGAGTTTAAGTGACCTCAGCTCAGTTTATCAGAAAACCGGGCTGGCCCATCTTGGTAGGGCCAAGTGGCTCATTATAGATTTTAAAAAACAACAACATTTTAGCAGGCCCATGAGCCGCCAGCCATGTCACCTTTTTCATTGTTTCATTTGGGGGGGGGGGGGGGGGGGGGGGGGGGGGTCAATTTCGACCAGCCCACCCAACAAAAAAATTGTCCAGCCCATCTGGCAATTGCTAGAATTGCCAGATGGCCAATCCACCCTAGCACACAAACAAGCAGACACACACACCACGTCTCCTTACGGAGATAGGGACAGAGATAGGGAAAGGGACACAGACAAACACACACACACACAGGGTTCTATGGGACCTCATCACCACTGTTTGGACGCACGCGCATACATACCGTACATACATACCTTACATACATATACACACCATTGGCCGTTGCTGATTTAGGTACCTTTTATGAACATTTCTACAACATCAAACAGGGCATTGTTCCTGCCACTGTTACCATGGTGGCTTTATGATATTAACAGGTAATGAGATGTCTGTGGCCAGTGGTCAGTGCAGTGGTCCGTCTGATGAAAGAGGTTGGTCCCTTAGATCATTGGGAGGAAACAGGGCTGTAGAGCACACATGGTCCTGATCAATAATATAACACACATATGGCCCTGATCAATAGAGAGAAACACACACACACACACACACACAGGCATGTGCATAGCACACATGACACACATGCACACACACAATGACTGACACAAACAACACTGACACACACACACACACACACACACAGGCCAGATGCTGGCCCTGCTAACAGTGAGCTAGGTCATGCTGAGTTGGTCCATTGAAGTGTTTCCTAGTCCCTGTGGGAGGTCATGCAGATCACTGACCACTGATCAGCCTCACACACAGCCCTCACACACACACACACACACACACACACACACACACACACACACACACACACACACACACACTAGAGACTGACTAATGAGGAGGGGGATAGCCACTACACTCTGTAAAAAAAAACTAAAAGAAACATTTCATTTAACCATTAGGTTATAACAGTGAGCTATAACAGTGTGCTATGTTTCAGTGGCACTGACAAGGCATTATGCTTACAGCGGTACTTAACATAGACAGGACTGAACTATTTGACTTACATAGACCATTTCTATAACTAGGCCATCCTTATTTCAGAAATGTGGCCTATATGCACTGATTCAAGCTATTCTAATGGGCATTATATTAGATAAATTACAGGATTAGCCTAATGCAATGTCCTTTCAGTAAGTCACACCCACAGCAAAACACACACACACACACACACACACACACACACACACACAGACAGAGAGAGAGAACAGGGGACCTTCCCTTGCTGTATCCACCCTCCACATACCAAGCGTGCCAATCTCTCATGAGAGGGCCCACCACACCCCCACCACCCCCCACACACACACACACCACACCCCCGTGCACCATGTCATTACCGTCCCAAAACGTCTCAGAGGGCCTCAAAGGGGAATGACAAGTCAACCACCACCACCACCACCCCTCCCCCCACTGCCTCCCCCTAAAACACCATACAATTAGTGGGTCCCCAATGCTACACTGAGTCTATACTACTGCTCTGATATGGGAGATCAATGCTACTACAGGCCAGCCAGGCACACCCTAACTCCTGTGTGCCTCTTTCCCTCCCCTCTCTTCTGTTCCTCCCTCTATCCGTCCTCTCCTCTATCTCTCTTTGTCCTCTCTCCCCCCTCCCTCTCCCTATCAGTCTCTTCCCCTCTCTCTCTCCTCTGTCCTCTATTTACAGCCCTCCCTCCCTCTCCCTCGCTTTTGGGGACACAAACAAATTGTTGGTCCGAGGCCTCTTCAGAGTCAAGAGAGTAATTATGCAGATGAAGTCTGGTGACCACTTCCTGTGTGTGAGAGGGAGAGTGATTTCCACCACACGGGCACCAGATATCCCATGAGCCTTTGAGGCTGAGGGCTTTTCCTATTGGCTGTCACATCCCTTATCACAATACTCCCTCACAGCCAGGGCGTTAGTCAGGGGACCACCACAACACATCTATTTAGATTTTGAGAGTTTTGCTCAGTTGGTAGAGCATGGCGCTTGCAACGGCAGGATAGTGGGTTTGATTCCCGGGACCACCAGTACGTTAAAAAATGTGTGCAAACATGATTAATTCGCTTTGGATAAAAGCATCTGCTAAATGGTATATATTATTATTATGTTAATGTGACTTGACATATGTGATCACACTTTCTCTTTTCTAAGGAAGGTCATATTTTGAATACATTTACATTACATTTTAGTCATTTAGCAGACGCTCTTATCCAGAGCGACTTACAGTTAATGAGTGCATACATTTTTATTTTTCATACTGGCCCCCCGTGGGAATCGAACCCACAACCCTGGCGTTGCAAACACCATGCTCTACCAACTGAGCTACATCCCTGCCGGCCATTCCTTCCCCTACCCTGGACGACGCTGGGCCAATTGTGCGCCGCCCCGTGGGTCTCCCGGTCGCGGCCGGCTACGACAGAGCCTGGATTTGAACCAGGATCTCTAGTGGCACAGCTAGCACTGCGATGCAGTGCCTTAGACCACTGCGCCACTCGGGAGATACAATACCTAGCTTTAGAGCCACAAAGGAGCCAAATATTTCAGTGATCATACAGGTGGCTTGGACAAATGAATCTTCATGAGTCATTAATACAACACACGTTAACAAACGCTCACGTGTGTGTGTGTGAGAGTGACTCACCTGTGGACGTAGTGCAGTTGGTGCACTGAGTCAATAGCCAGCACCATCTCAGCTAGGTAGAATCTAGCCATGTCCTCTGGCAGCCGGTCTTCAAACTTACTAAGCAGGGTGAGCAGGTCCCCACCCACATAGTAATCCATCACCAGATACTGTAGAGAGGGGAAAGTATCATATTATTATCACTGACAATGTAGTGATAATAATTTGACTGTATGATAGTGTACAAGTAACATTCTCTGTATTCCTCAACTTCCTCCCTCCATCTTTACTTTCTTTAGGCCCTACCCTGTTCTCCTTACTCTTCTTCCTCCTCCTGCCATTCTCTCAACCTAATCTATCACTCCTTTACCCTCAACTGTCATCCTATTACTTACTTCCTCCCGGCCTCTTTACAGCTTGTGTACATCCCAAACAGCACCATATTCTACTATATACTGCACTACTTTTGCCCAGAGCCTTTTGCCCCGGTCAAAAGTAGTGCACTATAAAGGGAATAGGGCGCCATTTGGGAAGCAAACCGCCACAACCCCTTAAAACATACTGAAAACATGAAAGGGGGGAAATGGATGGAGGGGTAGCGTTCCAACATGGATCCATGCATGGTTTCAATTACACATTGACTCTTGGGATTGACATAAAGATAACATGCTGGACCAAATGTCACATTTGCAACACTGAGGGGCATGTCCAGGTTAATAATCGTTATGGGAGTGCCCAGCACCCCTGCCATTTGGGTTACGTCCCAAATGGCACCATATTCCCTATTGAGTGCACTACTTTGGACCAGGCCCTGGTCAAAAGTAGTACACTAAATAAATATGGAACAGGGTGCCATTTGGGTCGCAAGCCTTGAAATGTGAAAGGGGGAAGGGCAGTCGGAGAAACAGTTGGAGCAATTGAGAGTCCATTAGAATGCTGCTTAGTCAATCAGCTGACCCATCACTATTCTTTACCCTCCTCATGCTCAAGTGGTCACCATATGAAACTCATTGACATACAGTATATTGAAAGCCTATGAAACGTTTGAAGTTAGTGGAGATCTTACTAGGTTGTTGTCGTCCTGGAAGGCGTAGTGCAGGGTGGTGATCCACTGGCTGTCCCCGTTGACCAGCACGTCCCGCTCCTCCCGGAAACACGCCGTCTGAGGGAGAGGTCAAAGGGCAACCGTCATACAAACAGAATGAATAGAATGTAGCTACTCTCATTGGCACACACTATGCGCCATCACTCTTTGGTCCAACCCAGTGCTTCTTTTGGGCAGGAGCTCACCAGAACTGAGGACCGGCACCTTAAATTTTATTCTGATTGACTTCCTGCACCTTATAGAATATCAGCTAAAAAGTATTGCAGAGTTCAACCGATTTCAATCGAAGTCAAGCACTGTTCAAACTTGTGTGTGTACTGAATTCCTGTGTCTGCTAGTGGTGGGAAACCATAGAAATATAATCTTTTGAGTCTATCTCTACGTGGGAAACCCCCTTTCAGAACGTTTGGGGGTCAATTAAGTATATAAATTCAATTACACTTTCTAACAAACTTGTGGACAAAGGGAAAGCTCATTCTAACTCTATGAGCAAGCCAGCCTCTGTGCTCTGCCTGTAGCTAGACTACACTATATATACAAAAGTATGTGGACACCTCTTCAAATTAGTGGATTCGGCTATTTCAGCCACACCCGTTGCTGACAGGTATATAAAATCGAGCACAGAGCCATGCAATCTCTACATTGGTAGTAGAACGGCCTTACTGAAGAGCTCAGTGACTTTCAACGTGGCACTGTCATAGGATGCCACCTTTCCAACAAGTCAGTTTGTCAAATTGCTGCCCTGCTAGAGCTGCCCAGGTCAACTGTAAGTGCTGTTATTGTGAAGTGGATACGTCTAGGTGCAACAACGGCTCAGCTGCGAAGTGGTAGGCCACACAAGCTCACAGAACGGGACAGCCGAGTGCTGAAGCGCATAGCGCGTAAAAATGGTCTGTCCTCGGTTGCAACACTCACTACAGAGTTCCAAACTGCCTCTGGAAGCAACGTCAGCACAAGAACTGTTCGTCGGGAGCTTCATGAAATGGGTTTCCATGGCCGAGCAGCCGCACCCAAGCCTAAGATAACCATGCGCAATGCCAAGAATCAGCTGGAGTGGTGTAACGCTCGCCGCCATTGGACTCTAGAGCAGCGGAAACGCGTTCTCTGGAGTGATAAATCACGCTTCACCATCTGGCAGTCCGACGGACGAATCTGGGTTTGGCGGATGCCAGGAGAACACTACCTGCCCCAATGCATAGTGCTAACTGTAAAGTTTGGTGGAAGAGGAATAATGGTCTGGGGCTGTTTTTCATGGTTCGAGCTAGGCCCCTTAGTTCCAGCGAAGGGAAATCTTAACGCTACAGCATACAATTACATTCTAGACGATTCTGTGCTTCCAACTTTGTGGCAACAGTTTGGGGAAGGCCCTTTCCTGTTTCAGCATGACAATGCCCCCATGCACAAAGCAAGGTCCATAGAGAAATGGTTTGTTGAGATAGGTGTGGAAGAACTTGACTGGCCTCCGCAGAGTCCTGACCTCAACCCCATTGAACAACTTTGGGATGAATTGGAACGCCGACTGCGAGCCAGGCCTAATCGCCTGACCTCACTAATGCTCGTGGCTGAATGGAAGCAAGTCACTGCAGCAATGTTCCAACATCTAGTGGAAAGCCTTCCCAGAAGAGTGGAGGCTGCTATAGCAGCAAAGGGGAGACCAACTCCATATTAATGCAGATGATTTTGGAATGAGATGTTCGATGAGCAGGTGTCCACATACACCTGCTGTCCACATTTGGTCCTGTAGTGTATGTAAAGGTCTGCATTAGTAGTAGTAGTAGTAGTAGTAGTACATGGGTTTGACTCTGAAGGTTTGTTATTGCAGACAGTTTCCCATGTCCAGAGAAAGCCAGACACACAGTGGGTAGTTCTGGGAACTTCTACACACAAACACACGCAAGCACACACACACAGGCACCACTGTGAATGTCTGCATGACTGTCAGGGGAGGCCAATGAGAAAAGCACAGAGCAGTAATAGATATACTGTACACACCTCACATGGTAAAAAAATCAAAAATAAATAAGGAAGTGATGTAATCAATTTCACATTTAATACTCTAAACTTGAGACTTGCACACATAATTGAAAATATAATGAAAATCTTGCTTCGCATGTTTTATGTAATGCATGTTTTATGCAAAAGACAGAGTTACATAATGCTATCTCCAGTTAGCATTTAGTCCTAAGTAGTGTTGTAATGCTATGGCAGTTTTTTTTGTTTTGTTTTTCTTAAACAATTAGTTTTTGATTAGCTCAGTTAAGTTCAGGCCAGGTGAGACTGAGGGAAACAGGCAATATTATACTTATGACAGTTCATTCAACATCACATTAATTTTTGACCATTATTTTTTTTTCTCTGTATGCTATGAACAAGATACAGTAACATCTGATGGTTGGGAATGCATTTAGTCTGAAGGATATGAAACCAAGTATGTGTTTTTGTCTCCCAAAAGAACATTGACTAGTTGGACTCAAGTAATGCAACAATGGTTGCAATTATCTTAATAGTTAAAAATGGTCACCATGGTGTTTTCATTGCTAGGTTTAGTTTAACTTAAATCCTATGCTATGGCTGTTGTTAGCATGTAGCCCTACTGTAATGGTAGGGCTGTTGTTAGCATGTAGCCCTACTGTAATGGTAGGGCTGTTGTTAGCATGTAGCCCTACTGTAATGTAGAGCTGTTGTTAGCATGTAGCCCTACTGTAATGGTAGGGCTGTTGTTAGCATGTAGCCCTACTGTAATGGTAGGGCTGTTGTTAGCATGTAGCCCTACTGTAATGGTAGGGCTGTTGTTAGCATGTAGCCCTACTGTAATGGTAGGGCTGTTGTTAGCATGTAGCCCTACTGTAATGGTAGGGCTGTTGTTAGCATGTAGCCCTACTGTAATGTAGAGCTGTTGTTAGCATGTAGCCCTACTGTAATGGTAGGGCTGTTGTTAGCATGTAGCCCTACTGTAATGGTAGGGCTGTTGTTAGCATGTAGCCCTACTGTAATGTAGAGCTGTTGTTAGCATGTAGCCCTACTGTAATGTAGAGCTGTTGTTAGCATGTAGCCCTACTGTAATGGTAGGGCTGTTGTTAGCATGTAGCCCTACTGTAATGTAGAGCTGTTGTTAGCATGTAGCCCTACTGTAATGGTAGGGCTGTTGCTAGCATGTAGCCCTACTGTAATGGTAGGGCTGTTGCTAGCATGTAGCCCTACTGTAATGGTAGGGCTGTTGTTAGCATGTAGCCCTACTGTAATGTAGAGCTGTTGTTAGCATGTAGCCCTACTGTAATGGTAGGGCTGTTGCTAGCATGTAGCCCTACTGTAATGGTAGGGCTGTTGTTAGCATGTAGCCCTACTGTAATGTAGAGCTGTTGTTAGCATGTAGCCCTACTGTAATGGTAGGGCTGTTGCTAGCATGTAACCCTACTGTAATGGTAGGGCTGTTGTTTTGTTTTTTTGGGGGGGTAGATCAGCTTTAATATTGCAGATAGATTGTAACTTCCATCAATGTAATTGTCTGCATCACTTCCAATCCCCCATATGTTTTTTTATCTCGCAAATAAATATATATATATATATATGGTACAGCATACCATATATGCTGTACCATATATATAGATATAGATATATATATATAGATATATATGATATATATAGATATATATATATATAGATATATATATATATATATATATATATATATACATATATATATATATATACACACACACACACAAACATACATACATACATACACATTTATATACACAAACATACATATACATACAGTGGGGAGAACAAGTATTTGATACACTGCCGATTTTGCAGGTTTTCCTACTTACAAAGCATGTAGAGGTCTGTAATTTTTATCATAGGTACACATCAACTGTGAGAGACGGAATCTAAAACAACAATTCAGAAAATCACATTGTATGATTTTTAAGTAATTAATTTGTATTTTATTGCATGACATAAGTATTTGATACATCAGAAAAGCAGAACTTAATATTTGGTACAGAAACCTGTTTGCAATTACAGAGATCATACGTTTCCTGTAGGTCTTGACCAGGTTTGCACACACTGCATCAGGGATTTTGGCCCACTCCTCCATACAGACCTTCTCCAGATCCTTCAGGTTTCGGAGCTGTCGCTGGGCAATACAGACTTTCAGCTCCCTCCAAAAATGTTCCATTGGGTTCAGATCTGGAGACTGGCTAGGCCACTCCAGGACCTTGAGATGCTTCTTACGGAGCCACTCCTTAGTTGCCCTGGCTGTGTGTTTCGGGTCGTTGTCATGCTGGAAGACCCAGCCACGATCCATCTTCAATGCTCTTACTGAGGGAAGGAGGTTGTTGGCCAAGATCTCGTGATACATGGCCCCATCCATCCTCCCCTCAATACGGTGCAGTCGTCCTGTCCCCTTTGTAGAAAAGCATCCCCAAAGAATGATGTTTCCACCTCCATGCTTCACGGTTGGGATGGTGTTCTTGGGGTTGTACTCATCCTTCTTCTTCCTCCAAACACGGCGAGTGGAGTTTAGACCAAAAATCTCAATTTTTGTCTCATCAGACCACATGACCTTCTCCCATTCCTCCTCTGGATCATCCAGATCAGGGTTCTTCAATTCCGGTCCTGGAGGGCCGAAACACTTCTGTTTTTTATTTCTACCTGGTAGTTAATTGCACTCACCTGGTGTCCCAGGTCTGAATTAGCCCCTGATTAGAAGGAGAGGATGAAAAACAGAGGTGTTTCGGCCCTCCAGGACCGGAATTGAAGAACCCTGATCCAGATGGTCATTGGCAAACGTCAGACGGGCCTGGACATGCACTGGCTTGAGCAGGGGGACCTTGCGTGCGCTGCAGGATTTTAATCCATGACGGTGTAGTGTGTTACTAATGGTTTTCTTTGAGACTGTGGTCCCAGCTCTCTTCAGGTCATTGACCAGGTCCTGCCGTGTAGTTCTGGGCTGATCCCTCACCTTCCTCATTATCATTGATGCCCCACGAGGTGAGATCTTGCATGGAGCCCCAGACCGAGGGTGATTGACCGTCATCTTGAACTTCTTCCATTTTCTAATAATTGCGCCAACAGCTGTTTCCTTCTCACCAAGCTGCTTGCCTATTGTCCTGTAGCCCATCCCAGCCTTGTGCAGGTCTACAATTGTATCCCTGATGTCCTTACACAGCTCTCTGGTCTTGGCCATTGTGGAGAGGTTGGAATCTGTTTGATTGAGTGTGTGGACAGGTGTCTTTTATACAGGTAACGAGTTCAAACAGGTGCAGTTAATACAGGTAATGAGTGGAGAACGGGAGGGCTTCTTAAAGAAAAACGAACAGGTCTGTGAGAGCCGGAATTCTTACTGGTTGGTAGGTGATCAAATACTTATGTCATGCAATAAAATGCAAATTAATTACTTAAAAATCATACAATGTGATTTTCTGTATTTTTGTTTTAGATTTCGTCTCTCACAGTTGAAGTGTACCTATGATAAAAATTACAGACCTCTACATGCTTTGTAAGTAGGAAAACCTGCAAAATCGGCAGTGTATTAAATACTTGTTCTCCCCACTGTACACATATCCTTTAAAAATATATATTTCCCTTTATTACTTTCCAAACCCACCACCCCTTCCCTAATTGGAGTAAACTAGCGAACAACAATGCTTAGGCCTCTACTTCCAGCTTATACATAATATATACATTTTATGGACACAGTCAATTTTACAATAATTCTATTTTGTTTGTTTTTACTCCTGAACTTCCTCTACCCTCAACCTCTCTGATCATTTTCATGATGTCCATCCGGTTAGCTTCTATATGCCATAACTTTCTAACTGTGCTCTTTCACAAAAGCTCTCAACCTATAACCTATATACATATTATGGACACAGTATGCTTTACATTAGTTATCTTGTTGTTATTAGTTGTTGTTAGTTGTTATTAGTCCCATCCTTCAACTCCATTCAACACCACCCATCTATCTCTTAGCACCATCCATATTGGATTTCTATTTGCCATATATTTTTCAACTGTACTGTGATGTTTCACAAAAGTTCTGAACCCTTCTTTTCTCATTATTTCTACAGATTGTAAATTGAAAATAAACATTTTTGCTAAAAGTATTATTATATTATTGATCGATTGACTATGACTTTTCAGATCACCCAGTAATGCTATCTGCAGGGTTAGCTCCAAGTAAATATTGCAGTCCTTCAGCCATTCCTGGACCTGTGACCAAAAACAAGCTACAAATGAACAGTACCAAAACAAATGATCTAATGATTCTGTCTCTTCGCAGCAAAATCTGCAGAGCTGGGAAGATTGTATCCCCCATTTAAATAACATTCTATTGGTAGCAAGAATTTTGTATAATAATTTACATAAAAAAAGTATAAGTTTTGAATCCGGTGTCGTTTTGCGTATCAGTTCATAAACACTATGCGATGGAATCAGTACGTCGAAAATCTCTTCAACTATTTTGCAATCTATATGGGACGGCTGTCAATCCTTTGGTCCTTAAATGAAACTGGTATACTTTTTTAATTTATCACAATTTTCTTTAACCAATTATGTTCTTTAATGCAGGGCTGACAGACAACTTCCTTACTTTTTCCCCCTTCCACTTTCCTCTTCCATTTTTGCGGTAATGCTGCAATTATTTGGTTGTAATTTTGGGTAGAGCAGACATTTCCATGTTTTTGTTAGCTGCATGTGCAGCTCCACCAGCCCTACCTATGATATAATTTACGAAGATTATACCTTTTTTTTTTTTATCAATTAGTATATTTAAGTTTAAGCACAATATTTTTTGCATATTTTTTCTGTCGTTTCTGGAGGATTAACTTGAAATTGCAACCAACTTTCTATGGCTTGTTTTAGAAATAGTGATATTTGGGAGATGATTTCCTTTTCAAATAACTGAAAGTGAGAGGTTGTAATCTGAATAAAGGGAAAAAGGCCATTCTTGAACATGGGGTGAGACAATCTTACTAATTTGCTAGAGAACCAGTTCGGATTTAAGTATAACTTTTGTATGACTGAAGCTTTTAGTGATAGGTCTAATGCTTTAATATTTAATCATTTCTGTCCTCCGAATTCATATTCATTATATAAATAGGCCCGTTTAATTTTGTCTGGCTTGCCGTTCCAAATAAAATGGAATATTTTTTTCTCATATAATTAAAAAGACTGTTCGCTAGGCGTAGGCAAGACCATAAGCAAATAGGTAAACTGGGATAATACTAAAGAGTTAATCAGGGTGATTTTTCCACAAATAGGCAGGTATTTACCTTTCCATGGAAGCAAGATCTTATCTATTTTTGCTAACTTTCTATTAAGATTTATTGGAGTGAGATCACTTATTTCATTTGGGATATGTATTCCGAGTATATCCACATCACCATCAGACCATTTTATTGGTCAACTACATGGTAATGTAAATTTTTTATTTTTTAGTGATCCAATACGTAATATAGTACATTTATCATAATTTGGTTGTAATCCAGAGAGGTTAGAAAATTTATCTAGATCCTCTATGAGGCTGTGGAGGGTTTCAAGTTGTGGATTTAAAATAAAACATGAATCATCAGTGTACAATGACACCTTTGTTTTTAAGCCCTGGATTTCTAATCCCTTGATATTTTTTTTGGATCTGATTTTAATAGCTAACATTTCAATGCCATAATAAATAGATATGCCAATAGTTGACAACATTGTTTTACTCCTCTTGACAGTTTAAAACTTTCGGAGAAATAACCATTATTTACTATTTTACACCTAGGGTTAGTTACTATACATGATTTTAACCCATTTTATAAGAGTAACGCTATAGCTGTTAGTATGTAGCCCTGAGGAATGCTGTAAAGCACATCTATCAAACTCATTCCACGGAGGGCCAAGTGTCTGCGGATTTTCGCTCCTCACTTGTACTTGATTGATGAAGTAAAGTCACTAATTAATAAGGAACTCGCCTCACCTGGTTGTCTAGGTGTCCAGCAGACACTAGGCCCTCCATGGAATGAGTTTGACACCATTGCTGTAAAGCTATGGCTGTTGTTAGCATTTAGCCCTGAGTAATGCTGTAATGTTATGGCTGTTGTTGGCATGTAGCCCTGATTATTGCTGTAATGCTATGGCTGTTGTTGGTGGTATCCAGTGCTCACCTCAGCTCTCTTCAGCATCTCCCACTTGTTGAGGATCTTCATGGCAAACACCTTGTCTGCATTCTTCACTTTGACCACAGCAACCTTCAGGAAACAGAGGAGAGAGGGAGAAAGAGGGAGAGTTAGAGGAGTCCATCCACCATATTCATTACATCTATCCTGTCATGTTCAATAGGGCAAACCATAGGAAGAAGTTCAGGTAGAATCTCAGTTTGTCAATTCAAATTAAATGTCAATGATGTACCAGCTAATTGCAGTGGTCTGAAGGGATATGTCCATTCTTTTAATTATATTTCTATGATTGAAATGACACCCACCCTGTATTCAAAAGTATGCTGTGTTTCAACTGATGGCGGGTACAACACAAAAAACTGAGATTATGTTAAGTAGGGTCTAAACTACAACATATGTGAAAATGAAAACAATTAGAGTTTACGCGTTTAGATAATTGATGTTAAAGAATAAAAACGTTTTTTTCAAGAAAACTCAGAGCTTTTAAACTATATCAAACGTAACTTTTTTGGTGATTAAGACATGGATGACTCATGGTAGGGTATGCAAAAAAACACTACTACCATGGGCAAATATGTATGGAAAGTTCCGTTCAAATCAAAAGGGGTGCGGTCAAAAAGTAATTGAAATCAAATGGAACAACCCAGCAAGGATAGGATACCTATCTAGATAAGCTACTGCTACGTGCTAACGTCTCTGACGCAACCATAGACAGCCTCCATTGTTAGTCCTGAGTGTAGTAAACAAAAGCATTCCTAAAACGAGTTTAGTTGCAACTCAAGGCCAGATGACTTCAGCTAGCAGGATTCCTCCCTCCTGCTTGTCTGCCTGCCAGAAGACACAAGAGAAAGCCTTTTTCACTTCAGCTTCCCCGCAACTCCCTCCGTCCGCCACAGGAGGAATTTAAACCACCAATCATCCACTCAGTCACACAAACACAAGGAAGCATGTATGTACGCACACATACGCAATTCACATACACGAAACGCACACAGAAAATTACATGCAACACACACAAAAACTCAGGCAACACACACACTCGAGTGGAGCCTGTAGTCCATTAAATGAGCGGGAGAAAAAGAAGGAGAACGCTAAATGCAAAGATAACATTCCTCTGCTGTTTGTGTTTCTCCCTGGTGAACTGATGGGGGGAAAGGAGGAGAGGACTGTTCTTGGCAGTGGCCCTGTGTATAGCGTATACTCCCTCCCTCCCTGTTTTCTTAGCTTTCACCACTCAAACATATGTGTGAGAGCTTGACATGCAGGGTGGCTGACTGGCTGCTCTATGCTGTAGTGATATAAAAAACATTCATCAGGAGACCCCAAACATCACACACAGATGCCAAGATCTCTCTCCCAGCGCACAGACAGACGCCATCTCGCTCTCAGTTGACAATGAGATGAAATAAAAACATCCTGATCATAATGTCCTCTTTTCCCCCTCCGTTTTCTCTTCCCACTCCTCACTCCTCCGTAGGGTCTTCCTTGGGCATTATAATAAGAAATAAATAAATAAATGCTTAACATATTTTCCGGTGTGCCGCTGCTAAATGAATATAGGTAAAATACTTGTTACACTATGATGGCTTATCACTGGAATGACATACAGTGCATTCGGTAAGTCAGACCCCTTGACTTTTTCCACATTTTGTTAAGTTACAGCCTTATTCTAAAATTGATTAAATCGTTTTTTTCCCCCTCAATCTACACACAATACCCCATAATGACAAAGCAAAAACAAAAAAACAAACTATAACATTTACATAAGTATTCAGACCCTTTACTCAGTACTTTGTTAACGCACCTTTGGCAGTGATTACAGCCTCAAGTCTACATGGGTATGACGCTAAAAGCTTGGCACACCTGTATTTGGGGAGTTTATCCCATTCTTCTCTGCAGATCCTCTCAAGCTCTGTCAGGTTGGATGGGGAGCGTTGCTGCACAGCTATTTCCAGGTCTCTCCAGAGATGTTCGATCGGGTTCTAGTCCGGACTCTGGCTGGGCAACTCAAGGACATTCAGAGACTTGTCCCGAAGCCACCCCTGCGTTGTCTTGGCTGTGTGCTTAGGGTCGTTGTCTTGTTGGAAGGTGAACCTTCGCCCCAGTCTGAGGTCCTGAGCACTCTGGAGCAGGTTTTCATCAAGGATCCCTCTGTACTTCGCTCCGTTCATCTTTGCCTCAATCCTGACTAGTCTCCCAGTCCCTGCAGCTGAAAAACATCCCCACAGCATGATGCTGCCACCACCCTGCTTCAACGTAGGGATGGTGCCAGGTTTCCTCCAGACTTGACACTTGGCATTCAGGCCAAAGAGTTCAATCTTGGTTTCATCAGACCAGAGAATCTTGTTTCTCATGGTCTGAGAGTCTTTAAGTGACTTTTGGCAAACTCCAAGCGGGCTGTCATGTGCCTTTTACTGAGGAGTGGCTTCCGTCTGGCCACTCTACAATGAAGGCCTGATTGGTGGAGTGCTGCAGAGATTGTTGTCCTTCTGGAAGGTTCTCCCATCTCCACAGAGGAACTCTGGAGCTCTGTCAAAGTGACCATCAGGTTCTTGATCACCTCCCTGACCAAGGCCCTTCTCCCCCGATTGCTCAGTTTGGCCGGGCGGCCAGCTCTAGGAAGAGTCTTTGTGGTTCTAAACTTCTTACATTTAAGAATGATGGAGGCCACTGTGTTCTTGGGGACCTTCAATGCTGCAGAAATGTTTTAGTACCCTTCCCCAGATCTGTGCCTTGACACAATCCTGTCTCTGAGCTCTACGGACAATTCCTTCGACCTCATGGCTTGGTTTTTGCTCTGACATGCAATGTCAACTGTGGGACCTTATATAGACAGGTGTGTGACTTTCCAAACCATGTCCAATCAATTGAATTTACCACAGGTGGACTCCAATCAAGTTGTAGAAACATCTCAAGGATGATCAATGGAAACAGGATGCACCTGAGCTCAATTTCGAGTCTCATAGCAAAGGGTCTGAATACTTAAATAAATAAGGTATTTCTGTTTCTAAAAACCTGTTTTCACTTCGTCATTATGCGGTATTGTATGTAGATTGATGAGGAACATGTTGTATTTAATCCATTTTAGAATAAGGCTGTAACGTAACAAAATGTGGAAAAAGTCAAGGGGTCTGAATACTTTCCAAAGGCACTGTAAGAGGGACCTCTGGCCAGAGACCTTATAATCATGATGTCTTCATAATCATTACATAGATATAGGCCTAAGCTATGTCTTTGCCTGCCAACCACTGAACACTGTTGTTGTTGTGAATAGGCCTGAAAATATACAGTGAACTGAATAGGCCTGTGATTGTAAATATTTGTTTATTAATTAAACAAATCCAGCTACTTACTTTGTTGCTGCTTTTCCAGCTAACTCAGTAGATTTGGTTAGCATGTAGGCTAGGCTATATGAAATATACAGGCCCGCTGACACAGCACAGGAGGCACAGAGACAAAAGGCGTCCGCATGCTTCCCATCCGAAACAGTTCGGAACAGTTTGTGCATATATTATGACGACATTTTGTGCCCGTTTTGTTCGTTTTGGCCTTCGGCAAGGGTTTATTTGGCAGTTCCTGGACACAAAATTATTTCTCGAGGCAAACCGAAGTTCAGAAGCCGAAGTCTACGCCCCTTCGTTTGTGATTGGCCAACAGTAGGGATTCTTCAATTAAGTGTTTGTTGTCATTCAATGATAGACCACTCGTTTTCAGGCACATTTTGCACTTCAGAAATACTGCACCAAACATCTTAGTTTGATGTAAAATTGTGCGACTAAGATCTCCTCGGCAAAAACATAAAAATCTGTAACAGATTTCTTGAGTTACAGTATCTTAGATTAAGTCTGACTGTTTTGAGGAAGTGTATACTGGCTACGGAGTCTCAAGATGGACAAACAGTACCATTGCCACTTTTTTCTCTTTTTTCAAGCGGAGGTCTTTTAAGGGTGTACGCGAGTACACTCGTTTGGTTCGCCTAGCCGAGTTTGACTAGGTGCCAACCCGAACCGAAGCATGCGGAAGGAAGCCTTTAGGCCTACTTCAACACAAGGTGCTAAAAGAGGTACAGTACACCACAGGGGCTATATCATAAATAAAATAAGTAGAGAGTCAACCGTGAGGCTGTAGCTTAGCTAACGTCAGAGTCACAGATATAACTCTAGCACGGGCGGACACCACTGCTAGCCTGACACGGGGCTAAGGACCAGGGCACAACCATGTTATTCTTTCATTCACTGTGAAATAAAACCCCAGTAAAAAAGGGTCTGAAACAGGCCATATGGGCCGCAGCACTGGGCAGAGCTCCAACCAACCCATTCCACCACACCTGGGTTCAAACACTATTCAAAATCTTTCAAATACTTTGAGCGTTTTCGCTAACATGCCTGGACCAACAGGCGCCAAGACAGCTTTTACCCCCAAGCCATAAGACTGCTAAATAGTTAATTAATGGTTACCCGATCTGAAATGACCCCATCTTGCACTGACCCTACGCACACTCACAAACTAAATTGACACACACACATACCGACAAAAAACACACACACATACACTTTTACACTCATCATTTGATGCTGCTACTCTGTTCTTTATTTGACTCTTATTATTATCTATCCTGATTCCTAGTCACTTTACCATGCCTTCATGTACAAATCTTCCTCAAGTACCCCATACCTCTGCACACTGATGTGGTACTGGTACTCCCTGTATATAGTTACATTCTTGTGTATTTTATTTATTCCTCGTGTTACTATTTTATTTTTAAACTCTGCATTGTTGGGAAGGGCCCGTACAGGGGTCTGAATACTTTCCGAAGGCACTGTAAGTAAGCATTTCATGGTAAAGTCTACACCAGTTGTCTTCGGTGCATGTGACAAATACAATTTGATTGAGATTTTTTGGAGTATCAGATGGGTGGGGTTTACCAGTTTGGAACTATTCTATTGGTCCATGAAGCAAGGCAAGCTCAATCAACCACAGATCAATTAGGCTATTTGAAATTATTTCAAATAGTATTGAACCCAGCAGCACAGCAGCTAGCTTAGCTAGCTATAATATACAAAGACCATGTGTCACACATCATGTAACCTTACACGGCTGAGTTTCTGCTGCCATTGCTAGCTACCTGCCTAGCTCTCCAACATTCCCCAGGTTTGACATCACACGCAGTAGAAGACATAATAATAACTATATTTCAACTCATGCCCCCGAGCCGTGAAGAAGAAAAATAAGGGTTAGTGTTAGTTTCCTTTTCTATTATTTTTTTATAAAAAACATTTCACAACGACAGTGAGGAAAATATTAAAGCATTCTCTTACATGTTGAGTCATGCATATAGCATATGGCCTAGTGACCCATGTCTTGCTGCTGGGATCACACTGTGCACCAACTATCAAATAGCCTATATATCACCAATTGCCCAGATTCTTGAGGAACTATATTGTCTTTGCATGCATTGTTCTGTTGTTGTAATTGTCTCTAGGCTCTATGTAGGCTACACTTGAAATGCTTTTTCTTTGCTGATGTCTTGCGAGCTTTCTATTGAGGTTCAAACTTCCTAGTGAAATAAAGGTTATAAAAAAGTACAATGAAAGGCACCAACAAAAAAGAACATACCTCTCCAAAGGCTCCTCGTCCAATCACCTTGAGGATCTCAAAGTCCTCTTTGTGCAGGCGCATCTGTTTCACCTTGGAGGTGAAGGGTTTGGCTGCAGGAAGAGAGAGAGAGAGAGAGAGAGAGAGAGAGAGAGAGAGAGAGAGAGAGAGAGAGGTTAGAATTCTGGGGACTTAAAACATTGAACTTGACCTGAGAATGTGCAAACTAAAATAGTTGCGCATCATCATGATTAAATTCATAAAAACAATAAAATACATTTTTAGCTGGATATTAAAACAATCTGACACAAAGCAAGTGGCACACAGGTAAATCCATTAGAATTTAATCATTTTTTTATTTAAATAAAACTTTCCATACATGTTTGCCCATGGAAGAAGTGGTCAGAAAGATAAAGTTGCTCAAAGTTGACCCATTTCGCTTACCACACCATACAATGAGACATCCATGTCTTCATCAATGGATGAGTATGATATCATTTAAAAGCTTACAAACAGGGTTGTCAAACAATGTCAAAATAATTCTCCCCAATTTCGTGATATCCAATTACAGTCTTGTCCCATCGCTGCAACTCCCCTACGGACTCAGGAGAGGCGAAGGTCAAGAGCCATGTGTCCTCCGAAACACGACCCTGCCAAGCCGCACTGCTTGTTGACACACTGCACGCCTAACCCGGAAGCCAGCCGTACCAATGTGTCGGGGGAAACACCGTCCAGTTGGTCCCCGAAGTCAGCTTGCAGCTGCCCGGACCGCCACAAGGAGTCGCTAGAGCACGATGGGACAAGGAAATCCCGGCAGGCCAAACACTCCCCTAACCCGGACGCCACTGGGCCAATTGTGCGCCGCCTCATGGGTCTCCCGGTCACGGCCAGCTGTGACACAGCCTGGGATCGAACCCAGGGCTGTAGTGACGCCTCAAGCACTGCGATGCAGTGCCTTAGACCCGCTGCGCCACTCGGGAGGCCCCAATTGTTTTATTTTAACCTTTAACGTTAATTATCAAAACATTTGTTTACTCCCATTTTTTTCATATTCACATATGTTGTAGCTCAGACCCTACTTTACATCTGAAGTTTTTGTGTTGTGCCCGCTGTCGGTTGAGACCAGTGATGTATATAAACCTTGGATTGCTGATACTGTGTATTGGCCATTGAGAGGCATTGAAGCCACCGGTCATCTAGTCTATATATATAAATCATTGGTTGAGACACATGCTCTTGAATAAAGGGTGGGTGTCATTTCAAATCATAGAAATATAATTCACAGAATGGACCTATCCCTTCATACCACTGCATTTTAGCTGGTACAGGTAAACCGTTGACATGTTAAATGTTCACTTCTAATTACTACCACAAAGATGGCTGACATTCCACCCACCGTCGAATGTCAACTTAAAATGGTCATCATGTCTATTATATTATCTATATTTCTATGATTTCAATAGGTTTACTATGGAGGACTGACAGTATAATTTAAATCGAGAGATATTCCCATTCAAGTCAACGTTCTCTGATGTGTGGACCTCCAACCATCTTTGTGGTACCATTTGAAAGTTGACATTTCAATTTGATTCGCATTTTACTACATTTATCAGACAAAAAACTAAGCACGACACCCACCCTGTATTTAAGAGCATGTTGTGTCTCAACCGATGGCAGGCACAACATAAAACCTGAGATGTAAAATAGGGTCTAAGCTGCAACATTGGCGAATTAGAAAATAATATCAGAGTTCATGCATTTTTAGATAATAAAAAAAAAATGTAATGACCATTTCTATTTAAAAAAAAATATTCACTGTAAGCTTTAAAATGATATCAATCTCAACCCTTTATATTTTCCAGTGATGAAAACATGGATGTCTCATGGTATGGTGGGGTATGCAAAATAAGTCAACTTTGAGCACCTTTATCTCTTGAATGTTTTGGCATTCAGGTCCAAAAAGTCACTTTCTGAGCACTTCTACAATGGGCAAATTTGTATGGAAGGTTTCGTTCAAATCAGAAGGGGTGTTGTCAAATAGTGATTGAATTCAAATGGATTTAGCCACTAGTAATGATTTCCGGTGAGTGTCCTTCTGCCTGTCAGTCCTGTATGCTGAGGGGTTGGTATAGGGTCAATCTAGATCATGACCGCTGAGATCTTTATAGTAAACCACAGTGGTCTGGAAGTGCAGAGGGCAGTGATAAAACTGTCTATTGTTACCCTTACATTTGACCTAGCCTAGCGTTCTGGGTGACTCACAAAGGTAATCTGGAGTCAACAGACAAGCAGCATTTTCCCTACTTTGTAGAAGATGGCCATTCATCCACTTCCTTTTTTACTGGATCCTCCATTAAACCTGAGGTAGACTGCCAGTTACATCAAATACTCATTCATTCATTCATTAATTCATTCATTTATTCATCCATCCACTGGTTAGTCTTCCATCCCTGGCACGGTCATCATGAGCCAGGCTTATCCTTGGCTCCCATGTCAGAATCCCAGCGAGGGTCACAGCCAGCCAGAGAGAACATCAGACCAAACCATTGCCCCACAACAACTTTTACTGATAAAGAAAAGGCGGGGTGGGGCTTTCAGTTGCTCAGTGTGGTATGAAGAATATGAATACCGATGTCCCTTCTGTGATTATATATACTGTAAGAGTGCATATCAAGTTAGTCACATGCACAAGTACAGTGATATACCTTTCTTGCAAGCTCTAAACCCAACAATGCAGTAATCAATATCAATGTAGTGCAAAGAATAACAAGATAGAACAAAAACACGAGAACTAAGTAAGCTACAGGGTCAGTTCCAATACCATATTTACAATGTGCAGGGATCCTGGAGTGATAGAGGTATATACGTTATAGTGTATGTGGACAGCCCTTCAAATTAGTGGATTCGGCTATTACAGCAACACAGTTGCTGACAGGTGTATAAAATCTAGCACACAGCCATGCAATCCCCATAGACAAACATTGGCAGTAGAATGGACTTACTGAAGAGCTCAGTGACTTTCAACGTGGCACCGTCATAGAATGGCGTCTTTCCAACAAGTCAGTTCGTCAAATGTCTGCCCTGCTAGAGCTGCCCAGGTCAACTGTAAGTGCTGTTATTGTGAAGTGGAAATGTCTAGGAGCAACAACGGCTCAGCCGCGAAGTGGTAGGCCACACAAGCTGACAGAACGGAACCGCCGAGTGCTGAAGCGCGTAGCGCGTCAAAATCATCTGTCCTCGGTTGCAACACTCACTACTGAGTTCCAAACTGCCTCTGGAAGCAACGTCAGCACAAGAACGGTTAGTCGGGAGCTTCAGGAAATGGGTTTCCATGGCTGAGTAGGCGCACACAAGCCTAAGATCACCATGCGCAATGTCAAGCATCGGCTGCAGTGGTGTAAAGCTCGCCGCCATTGGACTCTGGAGCAGTGGAAACGCGTTCTCTGGAGTGATGAATCACGCTTCACCATCTGGCAGTCCGACGGACGGATCTGGGTTTGGCGGATGCCAGCAGAACGCTACCTGCCCCAATGCATAGCGCCAACTGTAAAGTTTGGTACAGGAGGAATAATGGTCTGAGGCTGTTTTTCCATGGTTCGGGCTAGGCCCCTTAGTTCCAGTGAAGTGAAATCTTAACGCTAGAGCATACAATGATATTCTAGACGATTCTGTGATTCCAAATCTGTGTCAACAGTTTGGGGAAGGCCCTTTCCTGTTTCAGCATGACAATGCCCCCATGCACAAAGCGAGGTCCATACAGAAATGGTTTGTCGAGATCGGCGTGGAAGAACTTGACTGGCCTGCACAGAGTCCTGAACTCAACCCCATCGAACACCTTTGGGATGAATTGGAACGCCTACTGCGAGCCAGGCCTAATCGCCAAACATCAGTGCCCGACATCACTAATGATCTTGTTGCTGAATGGAAGCAAGTCCCCGCAGCAATGTTCCAACATCTAGTGGAAAGCCTGGACCAACTCCATTAATTCCCATGATTTTGGAATGAGATGTTCGACGAGCAGGTGTCCAAATACTTTTGGTCATGTAGTTTATGTATAGGGGTAAGGTGACTAGGCATCAGGATATATGATAAACAGAGTAGCAGCAGCGTATATGATGATTGTATGTGAGTGCGTGTGCGTAGAGTCAGTATAAATGTGTGGGCATGTTATGTGTGTGTGTGAGCAAATAAAGGGTGTGTGTTTGTGTTTGTGTTTGTGTGTGTGTGTGTGTGTGTGTGTGTGTGTGTGTGTGCGCGTGCGTGTGTGTTGGAGTGTCAGTGTGTGTGAATGTGTAGAGTCCTGTGAGTGTGCATAGAGACAGTGCAAAAATAAAAAAACATGTTATACAAGGGTCAACTCAGATGGCTAACAAAATGGCTACAGGGACTATTTAGAAGTCTTATGGCTTGGGGATAGAAGCTGTTCAGGAAGCAGATCGAACTGTCTATGGCGGTGGCTGGAGTCTAACGATTATCCAGGCCTTCCTTTTACACCGCCTGATATAGAGTTCCTGGATGGCAGGGAGTGATGTACTGGGCTGTCCGCACCACCCTCTGTAGTGCCATGCGATCAAGGGCGGTGCTGTTGCCATACCAACCAGTGATGCAGCCAGTCAAGATGCTAGCAATGGTACAGCTGTATAACTTTTTGAGGATTAGAACCTCCTGAGGGGGAAGAGGCGCTTTCGCACCTTCTTCACGACTGTGCGCACCATTTTAAGGAACTTGAAGCTGTTGACCCGCTCCACTGCAGCCCCGTTGATGTGGATGGGGGGACAATGGTGTTAAACGCTGAGATGTAATCAATTAACAGCATTCTCACATAGGATTTCCTCTTATCTAAATCAAATCAAATCAAATTGTATTGGCCACATGCGCCGAATACAACAGGTGCAGACATTACAGTGAAATGCTTACTTACAGCCCTTAACCAACAGTGGGTGAGGGCAGTGTGGAGTGTGGAGTGCAATTTAGATTGTGTCGTCTATAAATCTGTTGGGCGGTACGCAAATTGGAGTGGGTCTAGGGTGTCTGGGATGATGAAGTTGATGTGGGCCATAACCAGCCTTTCAAAGCACTTTATGATTACAGTGAGTAATGAGTGCTACAGGGC